TGGTCTTTTCCTTTTAACTAAATATTAGGCAGATACAAAAGAATAGAAAACATATGCAAGGGGTGAAGGATCCTAATTCCACACACACCCGCCTGCCCGTCTTGCCATGACTGTCCCTCCCGTCGCCCTCCCTCTGCTCTGGAACACAGCCACTCTCCTTGAGGTGTCTGGCTGGAGGGACTGCACCAGCTGCACACACACAGCAGCGTGCTCTTCTCATTCAGCGCTCTGGGCTCACGTTCCACGGTTCCTTGTTTTGCTCCACATTCTTTTTTTTTTTTTTTTTAAGATTTATTTATTTGTTCATGATAGAAAGAGAGAGAGAGAGAGAGAGAGAGAGAGAGAGAGAGGCAGAGACACAGGCAGAGGGAGAAGCAGGCTCCATGCCAGGAGCCCGACGCGGGACTTGATCCCGGGACTCGATCCCGGGACTCCAGGATCGTACCCTGGGCCAAAGGCAGGCACTAAACCGCTGAGCCACCCAGGGATCCCCTTGCTCCACATCCTAATCCTTCTGTCAGTTTTGTGTTTTGTGGGTTGTCTTTTTTCTTTGTCATTTATTTATTTGTTTATTTATTTAGGTGAATAGAGGTCCTTAATTTTTAGGAGGTGGGCGGAATTCACCTTATTTCTTCTTTGTGGTTTGTCCTCCTAGGTCTTGTTCAAGAAATCTTTGCTTACTCCACAGTGGTAAAATCGCTCTCCTATACTTTGTCTTCAAAAGCATTTTATAGGGACCCCTGGATGGCCCAGTGGTTGAGCATCTGCCGTGGGATCAGGGCGTGATCCCAGGGTCCTGGTATCAAGTCCCACATCGGGCTCCCCACAGGGAGCCTGCTTCTCCCTCTGCCTGTGTCTCTGCCTCTCTCTGTCTCTCATGAACGAATAAACAAAATCTTAAAAGAGCATTTTATAACTTGACTTCCCTATTTCAGTGTTTTAATCACTTGAAGTTGATTCTTGTAAGTGTGGAATGAGTAGGGAGGGGTCTAATTTGGGTTTTTCCCCCACAGAGATAACCAGTTCTCCCAGGACCATCATTGAATGGCCCACGATTACCCTTTGGACCTGCTGTGTCTGCTAAGCCTTAAATCATGTTTATATACACAGGGTTTCTGAGCTCTTTATCCTGTGCATTGGTCAGGTTGTTAGCATTGGGGTCTATATGCACGGTCTCAATTGCTATGTAGCTCTACAATAATCCTTGATGGCTGGTAAGGCAAGTCTCTATACCATATTCCTTGTTGGGCTATTCATGGCCCTTTATTCCCCAATGTAAATGTTGGAATTAGCTTGTTAAGTTCTACTCAAAAAAATCCTATTGGTCAGTTTGGAGGAAAACATCTTTCTTATCGAGCCTTCCCTTCCATGATTATAGTATGTCTCCACATGTGATCTTTCTTTCAACAAAGTTTTGTCATTTTCTCTATAAGGATTTGTACATTTTTTTAAAAATTTTTATTCTTTTTTAAAAAAGATTTTATTTATTTATGAGAGACACACACAGAGAGAGGCAGAGACATAGGCAGAGGGAGAAGCAGGCTCCCTGTGGGGAACCTGATGTGGGACTCGATCCCAGGACCCTGGGATCATGACCTGAGCCAAAGGCAGACACTCAACCACTGAGCCACCCAGGTGCTCTAAGATTTGTACATTTTTATTTATTCCTAGAAACTCTATATATTTTGAGGTTATAAATGGAAGGTTTCTTACTCCAATGTTTTCAACACTCCATTACATCCATTATGGATGCGTCCTCGTAAAAGCACTGTTTCAACATATCATTGAGCTACTCAAGATAGAAAGTGGCCCCGTGACTTGATTCCTGGTGAATCAAGTCCAGATGGCGCCATCTGTTCATGCCCCTTCTGACCCCACCCGTGTCCTTGCACTTGACTTCATTTACACTCATCTTCTCACTTCTTCTCCCCTTTATCCCTTCCACCCTTTCCATCTCCAGGATACCAATGCCCTCCCCTCAGCCTCCTCATGTCCTTCCTATTGGTAAATCCACCTTGACCCACAAGGGCATTCACAAAGCCTGAAAAATCCATCACACAGACAGTCCCTCCTTGATGACATACTATGGCCCCTTAATCTACGCTGAACCTTAGCACATGGCAGTGTACATTTTTGTCATTGATAGTTGCATGTCTCTGTCTTCATCTTCCTTTGTATTTCTGGGTACCTACCCACTATGGAGAACAATGTGGCTGAGAACATCAAAACTGAGGGAGACAAGTGCCTGCATGCAAATTAAAGAAAGGCAGTCACCCCATCCTGTGAATCAGTGCACATCCTGGCATGCAGATCAAGGGCTGAATTTCAGCCCTCACTCTCCCGTTCAGCCAGCGCCCTTGTGCAGTGAGCAACCTCCACAACTGTACAATGTGGTGCTAGGGGCAGGGCTGAGCATTATGCACATCACCCCACCTCTGTTCTGCATTGTCCACAGGGCCTGAAGGCCAACATGACACGTCTCTACCAGCTGATGACGGAACCACAGTTTTCCCATTGCTCCAAACCTGCCAAGTATAAGAAGCTGCTGTTTGCACTCTGCTTCTTCCATTCTGTGCTGCTGGAACGCAAAAAGTTCCTGCAGCTTGGCTGGAATATTATCTATGGCTTCAATGACTCTGATTTTGAGGTTTGTACTAACAGGGGTCTGTCCCCCCAGCCCTCTGTCCTTCCACCTCCTGCCCTGGGCCCCCCTGTGGGAAGAGCCACAGACAGAGAGCCTGCATGAAAAGCCTGTGTTGGGAGAGTTCCTGCCATAACTGTGTGCGTGTGGGGGGGGGGCACACACAGGTGTCCGAGAACTTGCTGAGTCTATACCTGGATGAGTATGAGGAGACACCATGGGACGCACTCAAGTATCTCATTGCCGGTGTCAACTACGGTGGGCACGTCACGGATGACTGGGACCGGCGTCTGCTCACGACCTACATCAACGACTATTTCTGTGACCAGGCTCTGTCAACCCCCTCTTACCGGTGAGGGGAGGTGGCACTGAACTCGGGGCCAGAGGCCACCGACAGACCAGGTGGCAGGACTGGGTGGGGGGGGGCAGATGTGTTTGTGGGGAGGAGAGGCCAGGAGACGGAGGAGAGGCAGATATGCGGGAGCAGGGTAATGGGGACCTGCACAGTGACCAGGGTCTCAGCCTGGCACTGAAGCCCCCAAGGCCCACCGCATGGTGATAATTATGCTGTGGGCCACCAGGTTGTCGGTGCTGGAGGCTTATGTCATCCCCAAAGATGGGAGTCTGGCCTCTTACAAAGAGTACATCAGCATGTTGCCTGGCATGGATCCCCCCGAGGCCTTTGGCCAGCACCCCAATGCCGATGTAGCCTCCCAGATCACCGAGGCCCGAACTCTGTTTGAGACTCTGCTGTCCCTGCAACCCCAGATTACACCCACCAGGGTAGGGGGCCAGAGCCGGGAAGAGAAGGTATGAGCAGGTCCACTCGTAGTGGGGAGGCCAGCAAGGAGGCAGAGAGGCCTCTGCTCACAGCTCCCGCCGCACCAGGTCCTCGAGTTGGCCACTGATGTGAAACAGAAGATCCCTGAAATGATCGACTATGAGGGGACCCGGAAACTGCTGGCCATGGATCCCTCCCCTCTCAACGTGGTCCTCCTGCAGGAGATCCAGAGATACAACAAGCTCCTGGAGACCATCCTGTAAGATGGAGAGGGGCTCTGCGGCTTGCAGGGAGGGGCGAGTGAAAGGGATCCCCGCCAATGCCCTCCCCACCCCCCACCATGGCTCTGCCAGGTCCATCCCATCTCTAAGCCCCCACCCTATCCTGCCCAGGTCCTCACTGACAGACCTGGAAAAAGGCATCCAGGGCCTCATCGTCATGTCTACGAGCCTGGAAGAGATTTTCAACTGCATCTTCGATGCCCATGTCCCTCCACTCTGGGGAAAGGCAAGATCACTGGCTCTTGACCCCCTGTGCCCTCAGTCTCTGGGTCCCGGGAGGCATATGGCAGGATGCAGGGAGCCTGGGGTCTGGAGCCAGATAGATTCAAGGTGGAAATCTGGCTCTGCTCTTCCCAGACTGGCTTTGCACCTATTAACCTAGGAACTTAGCGCAAGTTCCTAACCTCCCCAAGGACGGTTCCAGGATTCTTAGTACTGTGTGTGACTGTTAGTAGGTGCTTTGTTAACAGGAACGGGTTAGTCTTATTGTTGCTCTCATTGTGAAATGGTTGTTGTTTTATGCTTCCCGCCCAGGAGCTGGCTTTTGGAGAGCTTTGCCCAACTGTAACTGGGGAATGGGCTGATAACCCCGTATTCTTCTCATATCTGCTCCAAGTGCTCAAAAATCAAGATTTCGATGCATGAGAAAATAAGTGCAAAAACACACACTTGCCTCCTCCTCCAGGCATATCCCTCACAAAAGCCCCTGGCTTCATGGACTCGGGACCTGGCCATGCGTGTGGAACAGTTTGAGCTGTGGGCCAGCCGTGCCCGGCCTCCTGTCATCTTCTGGCTGTCTGGCTTCACCTTCCCCACCGGCTTCCTCACTGCTGTGCTGCAGTCCTCAGCTCGCCAGAACAATGTGAGCAGTGTGGCAAGTGTGATGCAGGGTGGCTGCTGGGGACATGGACTTGCTCTCCTCCTGAGGGGTTCTCCCTTATGCTCACCTTTAACCCCCAGATTCCAGTGGACAACCTCTCTTGGGAGTTTATTGTTTCCACGGTGGATGACAGCAACCTCGTGTACCCACCCAAGGTGGGAGCCAGATGAGCTTAGGGCTCTGAGCAAAGGCAGCTCTGGCGGGTGCTGGGAGCACAGGTGAAAAACAACTGGTTAAGAAGGGAGAAGAGGGGCCTCTGCGGGGCTCAGTTGGTGAAGTATCTGCCTTCAGCTCAGGTCGTGATCCTAGGGCCCTGGGATCCAGCCCTGCCTTGGGTTCCCTGCTCAGCAGGGAGCCTGCTTCTCCTGCTTGCTATTCCCCCTGGTTGTGTGTTTTATCTGTCAAAAATCTTTTTTTTAAGATTTTATTTATTTATTCATGAGAGACACACACTCAGAGAGAGAGAGAGAGAGAGAGAGAGAGAGAGAGGCAGAGACACAGGCAGAGGGAGAAGCAGGCTCCATGCAGGGAGCCCCATGTGGGACTCCATCCCAGGTCTCCAGGATCACGCCCTGGGTGGAAGGCAGCGCTAAACCACTGAGCCACCAGGGCTGCCCTATCAAAGAAAATTTAAAAAAAAAAAAGAGAGAGAGAAAAGAGAAATCAGGGGTGCTGGCAAGTGAAGATGTGGACTTCTCTCCCCCAACCTGCCCCCATGTCTTCCCAGGATGGTGTCTGGGTCCGTGGCCTGTACCTGGAGGGTGCCGGCTGGGATAGGAAGAACTCCTGCTTGGTGGAGGCAGAGCCCATGCAGCTTGTCTGCCTCATGCCCACGATCCACTTCAGGCCTACAGAAAGTCGAAAGAAGAGCGCCAAGGGTGGGATAGCTCCCTGGGACCTGCCTTCCCATCCTTAGTTTGGGTCCTAGTCCACCCTTGCCCCCCCTCCTGCCTGCTCTCCCAGAGGCTCTAGGGCTCTCACCCCCCTCCCGGTCTTTCCTCAGGCATGTACTCCTGTCCGTGCTACTACTACCCCAACCGGGCCGGCAGCTCCGAGAGAGCCTCCTTTGTCATCGGCATTGACCTTCGGTCTGGGACCATGCCCCCCGATCACTGGATCAAGAGGGGGACTGCTCTCCTCATGAGCCTGGACAACTGAGAGGGCCTCCTCTTCCTCCTCGCTAGAGGGAGGGTCGGGGACTCCAGGGACCAAGGCCGGACTTAACTGGGGGGTTGGCCGTGGCTGAATTTGTTGCCTAACAGCGACCGGTGGCCAGTCGTGCTAGCCGTGAAGGTGGTAGAACTGTATTGGAACTCAGAGCAGTAAAACACTCTCAACCAGACGCCCTAACCGAGCCTCTCAATTGGGGTGGGGGCTCGGGGAGGGAGGGAGTCCGGGCTTTGCAGAGGAAGGGAACTCCAGGGAACTGCTACAGGACCGGGAAAGGAGCTAGGGAAGTAGGCGGCCAAGAGATGGAGGGGGCGTGGCCCTGAACCCGCGGCTGGGCGGTGGGACCTAAATCGGGGTGTGGCTAAATTTCGGGGCTGGACCTGAGAGGGCGGGGCGGGGCTTACTTTGGAAAGGCGCGTGATCCGAATAGGGATTGTCAGGCAGGGATGGGGCCGGCCCAGCACGTTGCGCCGCACCGCCCGCACCTCGCACCCCGCACTCTACCCCGCACCTGCGCGGAGGCGAGTGGGACAGGCAGGGGGCGGGGCCCGGGAGAGGGACTCGGGCGCGAGGAGGGGCGGGACCACGAGGAGGGGGCGGGGCTGGGGCGCAGGGGGGGCGGTGTTTGTGTTGGAAAATCCAACTGCGCCACGGGGCGGAGCGGCCCCCCCGGCCCTGGCCTGGGAGAGGGGGGGCCCGCTCGACCCCCTGGGAGACCTCAGGGAGCATGAGCACCTGGGACACCCCAGAACCAGGTAACGGGGGGCTGCGGGGGCGTCTGGAGAGAAGCCCATCTCCGCGCAGGGGGGCGGGACGCCTGAGTCTCAGGACCCGTAGAGCTGGGGATGGAAGGTCGGGTCTCAGCAAAGGACCTGGCGAGATGACCGGGGCGCAGGATGCCAGGATTCCCTAGAGGGGGGCGGGGCGCGGTGGGGGAAGAGCTGGGAGGCGGAACCCTTGGGTTCGAGTGTCCAGAGGGGCTTGCTAGGGCTCCGGGTCCCCCCTGGCTGGGATTCCCCTCCCCGACACTGGGGCGTGGCGCGGCGGCCCCTAACGGAAGGGCCGGAGGGAAGGTCAGAGTCTGCAGCTGGGGCAGTGCGACGGCTCCCCGGGGGTTGGGTGGGGCTCCGGGCCCGGGGCTCCCTCGGTGTCCCCCAGTTCTCCGCACCGTGAGGTGTGTGTGTGGCCTTGGCCTTGCCCCTCGCGCCGGCAGCCAGCCTCCGCGCGGCACACCCGCCTCCGAGCAGTCCGCCGGCCCTCGCCAGCCGCTCCATTCCCGGTCCGACCCCACTTGGCCGCTCCTCGCCCGGCCCCGGGCCCAGCGCCGTACGGACCTTCGCCGCGCAGCCACGAGATGGCGAGGGCGAGCCGCGCGGCCCGAGCCGCGGGAGCCAGGTGGGCGCGGTGGCCCGGAGAGCGGCAGCAGCCCCCGCCCGGCCCGAGGGACAGGTGGGCCGAGGTGCGCCGCTGACTTCCTGTCATCTTGGCCCCTCACAGGAAATTGTGGGCGGGAGGGCGAAGGGCGAAGGATGGGGAGGGGGCTGGGACTCAGTCTCCGCCTGCTCGGGCCCGGGTAAATAGCGGGGAGGGGGGCACGCGGCTAGGTTACTAAGCAACGCGCATTCGCTTCCAGTCCGCCGCAGCTGGTAGCAGTGACCTGGGGACCTGGGGGGGGGGGGGCGACCGCTTCTCGGGAGCTGGAGAGCCGGGGAAAGACGGAGGGAGGCCGCGGGCCGGGCTGTGGCAGTGGAGGCGCGGCGGTCGTCGGAGGGAGGCGGGCCCCAGGCGCGGCCGCGAGCGGCGCTCCGCCGCCCTCCAAGGGGTTGCTTGCCTTGTTGCCGGAGTAACCGGAGAGCCGGGCTCCGGAGCAGGATTCCCGAACTCTCGCGTCCGGCCAATCCGCTCCGGCGGACGTCCCTGACATCAGGGCCCCGGCAGCCAATACGGAGGGGGCCTCATAGAGCGACTGGAAAGGGGGGGGAGTGGCGGAGGGAGGGGGGGAGCTGCTCGGGACCCGCACGTGCACTCCCACACGCTCGCGCCCACCCCCCCTCCCTCCGCCGCACGCGCCCGGGTGCTCCCCTGCGCCTGCGCGGCGAGTCGGCGCACGCTGTTCACTGACCTCCCCCCAACCCGGTTTCAGGCTGTGTTGTTTGCAAACTAGTCCGGGGCCGCGCTCCTCGGGCCCTGGGGACCCAGACGTCTGGACGCGCCCGTCCTCGCTCGCTAGGTCTCGAACCGTTTGTACCCGGCCCGGCGTGGGAGGGGCCGGCTACCTGTTTCCCACCGCACCCTAGCTGGCGCCCCACTCTCCCAGGTGGGCTGGGCGGAGCTGTGGTTTCCGGCCCCTTCTGCTCCGCCGCCGCCTTTCCCGGGCTTGGGCTCCAGTTGCCTCCTCAGGAGGAGCGGACCGGGTATCGGCGCCCCTTCCCCGGCTGTTCGCACTCGGGCTCGGCGGCCGTGGGCGACGGGGAGGACGCTGCAGGGAAGCCCCGGGCGGCCCGGGTGACTCCCGCCGGGCCTGCCGCCCCTCATCCGCGCGGCTTCCTCCTTGGTGCACCCCGAAATCCTCCCACCCCTAACGTTCCTTCCGCGCTTGCTCTCGCGCTCTGCGAGCTCCCGGGGCTCCCCTCGGGCCGCGCGCCCTGCTCTCCGCGCGTCCTTCCCGGCTTCTCCCGGTTATATAACTCTTCCTCTCGCCGTGTCCTGGTTTCAACTCCACAGACTCCGCCCTGGAACGGCGCGGGGAGGGGCAGGAGAGTTGGGGACCCAGACGGGTTCCGGCGGGCTGCCGGCCGGGCCCCAGGGGAGCCCGCCGATGGGAGACGGAGCCCCGCGGGACCCGGCGCCCCGCCCCCGACCCGAGACCCGGCCCGGGAGAGAGAAGGCACAGTATCTGCGAGAGGCGTGTCGGGACTCCGTCAGAAATGTGGGTTGGGAGGTCAGGGGCTGGAGGCGGGGAGGAGGAGCGGAGAAGCCCGAGCCCCGGAACTGGAGCCGTGCTGGGGGTACGAGAGATAAAGGCAAGCCGCCCGGGTTCCTGCCCTCCCCTCCTTTTTGGGTTCCCAGAATTCCTAAGGCTGTTTCCCAGGAAGCTTAGCCAAAGGCCCCTTTCCGTCCCTAGGGGTCAAAGGTCTGTGTTAGAGGTGGCCTGGGATGATGTCACCAATGCACGTGCCCTGGGACTGATGCCAGGCCGGAGGCCGCCTCCCCTGCCCACTCGCCCCCACCCCTGCCCCGAGTCCAGTTCCAACCCCGTGCCATCTTTTCCCCCTCTCCCTTCCCTTGGCCTCAGCGGCCTGCAGGTGGGAAACCCTGGCCTGGAGTTTTGGGAGGGGGAGGGGCACGGGTGTGGTGTGGCCCTGAGACTTTGCCCCTTGGCTGGCTCCGGGAACCCCGGGTCACTTTTCCTCTCTTTGGTACGGAGAGCGTTCCTTGCCAGCCCCCTGCTTTCCTTGAAAGAGCCTCCGGGCGTCTTTCTAATTTCCCACCTGCTGCCTTGCTGAGGGTCCTATTGCCCCCTCCTCATTCCGAGTTGAAGTGGGAGTGGTTGCAAGGTAGCTACTCCCGGGAGAAGAGTGTGTGCGCAATGGGGGTTCGCTGGACGGCAGCTCCTCTCTGACCTTAATCACTGACACCCCAACCGTGGAGGAAAGAGTCAGGAAACAGTATTAGACCAAAAAGTCCTCCTGAGGGAGTAAGATTCGGCTCATAGCTGCCAAGTGCCCTTCCCTATTAAGTCTTGGGGTTTGGTTATGATATTGGCAAAATTTCGTTTTTCTTTTCAGGTACCTTAGAGCTTGGGCTGTCAGATCAGATCCAGATTCCTTTCCCAGCTCTGCCACTTAGTGACTGTAGGGACTTGGAAAGGTCACCACCTCCCAGGGCCTCGTATTCTTAATCTGGAAAATTTAAATATCAATACATACCTTCTAGGCGATGGGGTGGTGGTGAGATAATTTATGCAGAGTATTTAGCACAGTGCCTGGCACAAAATAAATCCTGAACGGATGCTTGTTATGGAATGCTCATTCTTGTTAAATGGTGGTAGTTATTCTTTTTATGGTTATAGTTGTTAGGCCGGCTTCGGCCTGGCTGGGACCTCAGGAGTTCGTTAGGGAGGAGTGGAGAGTTGGTGTTAATTTGGCGGGTGGGAGGGAGGGAGCTAGGGATTAGCGTCCACTGCTTTGTGCACTTTATTTGATGAAAGCTTTAGTCAGATTTGTATTGCTTTCTTTAGGAGTACTATTTTTTTCCCTCTCTTGGAGAAGAAACAGCTCACATTATTCCTCTGGCCGTGAAAATAAAATAATTGTATTGTGGCTCTTGATTTTTAAGCAAGACCCCATCCCCCCCCATGTTGTTCTCTGGAGCCTTTCAATTTGGCAGAGGGACTCCACAGTTTTCTTTGCGGGGCCGGGGCTTGGCTGAGGGGTGTGTAAAAGGTTGGGTGGGTGGGTGGAGAGAGCAGAGTGCTGGGGGCTGGAGGGGGGGGGCGGGTGGTTAAAGGAAGAGACCGGAAGGGAGGAGGAGGGAGCCTGCTGGTGGGGAGGGAGGGAGGGAGGGGAGGAGGAGGTGGAGGAGGAGGAGGAGGAGGAGGAGGAGGAGGAGGAGGAGGGAGGGGGTTGGGGAGAGCCTGCTACAGTTCTTTGTTTGACTCCGGGACTCAGGGACGGGGAGGAGGAGGGAGGGAGGCAGAGGCTGCAAGCGCCGGGGCAGGCCCAGGAGGCAGAGGAGGGACCGTCTCCCCGCCCCCCCAGCCCCCACTCCCCCCCCTGCTGCTCCCCCCCTCCCTACCCGGACTCCAGGGGCACCGCCGGGGGACAGACACCCAGCAGGTAACCCCGGCCTGGCTGGCCCTCCCTTCTCGGGTTTTCCTCCACACCTTCCCGGATGACCCCTTTCCCCGTTTTCGTCTGGCCTTGCCTCCTTGCCCTCCCTGTACCGTCTCCCCCACTTGGGCTTGTCGCCTGCTGGCTGCGCCGCCGTCTCGTGCAGCCACACAGCCTGTGCACCCCGGCTCTGCCCGCGGCACCTTTCGGGGCTCCGGCTGGCTTTGCTCTCCTTCCGACCTGTCCCCTGGGGCTCTGAGTAAGGAGGCAGTCCCTGTCCTTCCCTCCCCCCCAACTCTGGCCCCTTTTCTCCTTCTAGCAGTCTCCAGGGGTGGGGAGAGAACCGGAATTTGGGGGGCCCACTGGGGAAGGGGCTATGAGTGCGTGCGGGGTGGGGGTGGGGGCAGCTGGAGACCTGGCTGCCTCTCTGTGTCCCTTTAAATGGCCCTCACATTTCTGGGGACTCTTGGGGGGGAGGTGGCCAGCCGCCTGCCTGGGGGGGGCAGGGCCCTTGGTTTGTCCACACAATCTGGGGTGGTAATGATTTAAAGGGACAGCCTCGGTGTGGCCGCTGCCACCCGGTGCCGGCGGGAGGGGGAGCCGGCAGGCCGTGTCTGGGGAGGCAGGGCTGGTGAGCAGGGCATCTGAGGCTGAATCTGTTGTGGGGCCTGCCAGGTCTGGGATGGTGCTGCCGCTGGGACCTGCAAGGAGAGGTGACAGCTTGCGGGGGAGGGAGGGCACTCAGCCTGGGCCTTCTCCTGGGCCCCACCTTTGGGTTCTTGGACTCCTTGGCCAAGAGTCCTTGAGTCCGGACTGTGGAGTCTGTGGGCCATCAGGTGGGGACCTCTGGCACGTTTGCAGGTCAGAAGCCTGGCCTGGGCACATTGGCGCTGGCCCTTCAGCTTTCCCTTTTGTTGTTTGGCTCCATGCACAAGAAAGCCCCAGCCCCTCCCCCAGCTCCCCCTTCCCGTCCACATGCCCCCCCCCAACACACACACCCACCCCAGCTGTTGGACAGATGAATTACAGCCTCCGGCTTGGGGCCAGGGCTGGTGAGGGATTAAAGCTCTGGGGCTGGCCCTTTAAATGGCTGGTGGCCCCTCCCCCACTGTGTCCAGATACCCCATACACACCCGGTGACCCCCTTGGCTGCCCCTCATTCCTTCTTTGGTCTGCCCTAAGGGCCTGCCACTCCTCTCTCTCTAGGCTAGACCCTTCCCAGCTCCCCCTTCCCCTGCAACAGGACCACAAACACAAATGCTACAGACTACACACACACACACACAGACACACACACACACAGTTGTCCCACATTCTCAATGTCCCTGTCCAGAAGGTTCCAGCCTCAAGCTTCCTTCTCTAGCATGAGAACTTTGCCCACCTGGCATCCTTCGCCTGCCACTGACCACTGCCTGGCCCACGGGAGGGGCCCTGCGTGGGTCAGAAGTAGCACCTCCCTTGGGGCTGTGTCATCACCCCAGGCAGCTTGCAGCACATTGCATCATGGAGGCTGGGGGCTGGAGGCCTGAGTCCCTGGGGCAGGGGGAAGGATGCGGGCTGGAAGGCCAGGGAATGGAGGGACTAGATTGGGAACCCAAGTGTCTGGGACCCTGAGGGCAGACAGTGTGGCTAAAGAAGCAGCAACCATAGGTCTCTGAGGAGGGAGTTGGAGGTGAAAGGGCAAGAGTTAGGCCTGACCCTAGACGGACACCTGATTCTTGACCCTGGACTTCTGTTCAAAGGCCTAGCTTTTTGTCTGTGAGAGGAGGGGAGGGAGTGGGCCTCTGTCACCTTCTTGGGTCACAGAGAGGAAGGAGGTGATGGAGAAACAGGATATGGCCTTGAGGGGTGGGATGGAAGGGTGGCTTTCAGCAGAGGCCACTTCCAGACCCAGGCCCAGAGTCAGGGCCTCCTTCCGAGGGAGACTCCTCCTTGCTGGGCCCGTTCATCTAGTCTGGCCACCTGTGCTCCTCGCCAAGACCTGCCTGCACCCGCCTGGGGGAAGGGGAGGGGGCAGAGTCCGGAGGGTGGGGTTGACGGGTGTCTTGATAAGGTTAGGGAGGAGGCTGAGCAGAAGGCCGCTGAGGATCTGTAGGCCTGGGGCCAGGATAGAGGCTCCACTCAGATGCAGAGGTCAGGGGCAACTGGGGCTACTCTGGGACCAGGGGCTCCCAGCAGGAGGGTTCAGTCAGCAGAGAGATCATGGATTGGGTGTCTGCCATGGACTTACACAGATGCCACGGCATGCCCCCCCTTCCTGTCCAGGCTGCATCTGAAAGGGGAAGGCTGGAGGACCACTTTGGGGATGGCTTTTTCTGGTTGCCATGGAAACAGGTTCTCCCATCCCATCTGACCACCAGTGCCAGGTTTCTCCTCAATAAAAAAATAGGGAGCACAGGAAAATTCTTCAGTCTGGGAGACCCTACTTCTAACTGGCTTTTTTTCCCTTTTAGGTTCCCCCAGGCACCATGCCAGCCCCGTAGTACCACCCACCCCACCCACTGTGGTCTGCTGCACCCCACCGCTGGGGCACTGGTTCCAATGAGACAGGGCACATCAGATTCCATCTGGTAAGTCCTGCCCCTGAGCGACACCTCCCCCTACCAGCTCGGTCCAACTCTGAACCACATGCTTGAAGAGCAGTGGTATGATCTGTATCGTGCCCACTCCTCAGAATGGTCCAGTCCAACTCTGAGCATCGCCCCCACCATGTGATGCTTGAGTGGTTCAGTCTTCCTGGTTTATGGAGCTCCCCTCTGTTGCCTCTGAATGGTTCAGCCCCCGTACTTCACCAGCCTCTCCACTACCACCAAAAAATCATCTCCCCGTCACCCCCCCCCCAGTGCTACAACTCAATTGCTTATCTAATTGAATTGAGCCAGAGTTTGCAGGCAGCAAGATAGACGTTGAGCTGCCTTGGAGGGGGTTTTCTTGAGGCAGGGGTGCCCTGTAAGAGATGTTGAAGTCTGGTCTACGGATGGTGATTGGAAAGTGATGGGGAGAGGCACTGGAGGCCACTACCACCAGGGCCTGCTGTTGCCATGGCAATCGTGGAATTTCACCTTTCCTTCCAGAGTCCTTTCTGTACCATTCTGTCCCCACTGCACTACAGCATTTGCCCCCTGACACCCTCCATCTTCCATCTCCTCTGCTTGCCTCTGTTTCTGCTGGTCCTGTCTGAGGCTCTGGAGGACAGATCTTCCACCCCTCACTCTCTAGGAGAAAAGATGATACCTAAGCCAGGGACTTGAGTTCTCTGAGTGTGTGTCGCTTTTCTCCACTGCTCACTGAATTTTTGAGTGGGACTGTTTTCTTCTGTGTGTCTCTATTTGGCAAGATGGTTTGCACTTTGGGGTGCCTCAGTGGAATTGTGTTGAATGAATGTGTTAACTGAATGAGCTTTCTTGCCAAGAAAGGAATGGCTTCTGAGATCTGCTACACAGTCTCCTGCCCACACCTGCTCTAGAGGCCATGAGGCATTTGGGATGGTAGAGATGCCTGGGGTGGAACCCTGGGGTCAGGCTGGCCCAGGAGATAGCCTGTGAAGATAACACCGAGGGAGCCAGAATAGGACAGAGGCCTTCTAGAAGAGTGGAAAGCATGAGGCCCTGGTTAGAAGCCCAGCTCTTCCACTCTCTTGCAGAGTGAACTTGACCAAGTTACCTAATCTCTCTGAGCCTCGATTTCCTCCTCTGTAAAATGGGGTAAAAAAAAAAAAGTACCTCCTACTTTAGGTTTGGGGTGTTGGGGGGGTGGGTAATTTTAAAAATGTATGTAAAGTGCTTAACACAGTGCCAGGCATGTAATAAGTATTCACTAAATGCTAGCAATTATCATCATAATGGGAGCCGCAGGGAGCTGTGAGGATAAGCAAGGACCTTGAGGAATAGGACAGAACTTGATTGAAGGCAGACAGACGCCCAAATATTTGACTCAAACAGAAGGATCACTGATCCAGCAAGCCGGCAGGATTCAGGGGAGTGAGGCAGGGAGTCGGCAGGGTCAGCCGGCTCCAGTGTTTCCCAGACTCTGTTCTGGAGCATGAAGGCAAACACAGAAGGGCATGTGCAGAGACACACGTGATCACGCAAGTGATGCAGAGGCAGACCCAGACAAAAGACCGAGACAGGAGCCAGGCAGACACACAGACAGAGCCAGCCCCTCAGAGTCATGTAGACAGGCATAATGACAGGAGCGCGTCAGACACAGACACTGGAGGGGACCAGATGAGCAGATATGCAGGTGCACACAACCGACTTGTCAGACACACTGGGGAACACAGCGGTCCAGTCAGAGGCAGACACAAGGCTCGCAGTGACACCGAGCGGGCCGGGGCCGGCACTGTCACTACGCGGTGGGGGGCGGGGAGGGGCCGGCAGCGGGGGAAGGCTGGGGAAGGGAATCCCGAGCGGGCGGCCTGCCCGGGCGGCTGAGTCACAGCGGCGCCCCAGCCGGCGGCCCTCCCCTCCTCCGCCTTCCCCCCCACTCCGCTCCACCAGGTAAGAAGCGAGCGTGTAACCCCTCGCTTCCATCGGGCAGAATGCGGCCTGGCCGGGAGCGGGACGCGGCGGGACCCCGGACCGGCCCCACCTCGGCGCGTCTGCCTGCCTGCCTGCCTGCCTACGGCCTGCCGGGACGGCCGCGGCGGCGGGGTCCTGTCGGTGGCCGGCACGTGAGTCTGCGTGCGCACGTCTGGCCCCCGGCCCCGCGCCTCCCGAGCGCCGCGCGGAGGGGCTTCTCGAGCTCGAGCCGGGAGAGGGTTAAGTGGGTGTGATTGATGGAGTGTGGAGTGGGTGTCTCTCTCTCTTCTCTCCCTCTCTCTCTCCCTCCCTCTCTCTCTCTCTCTCTCTCTCTCTCTCTCTCTCTCTCTCTCTCCCCTCTCTCGGGTCTCCAGGGGAGGGGGTCGGTTAAAGTCCCCGAGTCCAGGGCCCGGATGGAAGGGGCGGAGCTGGGCTCGGCCGGGAGTGCCCGGATGGAGAGGGCGTGGCCTCGGCGGGAGAAGCGTTAACCCTTTCTGGGCGGCTGGTGCCCGGGACCGCGCGGGCCGGGCGGGAGAGGCCGGAATGGAAGGTCCGCCCCAGAAGTACCCCGTCCTCCCCAGCCTGGCCCTGGCCGCGTGCGTCTTTCTCCCTTCTGCCTTCGAGGAGTCTGTGGCTGTGTCTGTCTTTGTGCCTGCCCGTGGTCGTCCCCTCCCCTCGGTTAGTGCGGACGCAGGGAGTCGGGGAGGGCTATTCCTGCCCCCAAGCGAGAGTCGAGGTGAGAGTGGACCGCGAGCCACCGCCGGCGCCTGGGGAACAGGTGTGCGCGGGGCGTCGGGGCTGGCGGCGCGGCGGGGGGGGGGCCGTCGTGGGGAAGACGGGAGGGGAATTTCCGCGGGACCGGTGGTGAGCGGTGTGTGGGCTGAGTTGTGTCTGCCTCTGACTGTGTGTCTGTGTGTGTTCGAGGAGGCGGGGACTGAGTCAGTGGGAATAGGGGAAGGTTTTCTGGGTGACTCACGCTCTCCCCCCCCCCACCCCGAGCCTGAATCAGACCCCGAGGGAGGGCTTTGTGCGGGAGGCGGATGGGGCGCGGGGTGGGGTGGGGGGACAGTCAGGCGCCTGGGTCCCGGGTGGGGACAGGGATCGGAGGTTGTTGGCGAGAGTGCGTGTGTGTTTAGTGAACAGGAAGTTTTTGTTCTCCGGTGAGGGCTGCTGCATTCTAAGTGGACAAAGGTGGAGAGGGGCTGGAGGGACGGAGCTCCGCGCTTTAGGGAGAGCTGAGTCAGTTCCCCGTGGGAAAGGGGAAGTGGTGGAGGGGAAGTGTCATCATCGCACTGGGGGAAGCTGCATTTCCTGGCAACTGCCGGCGCCCTGGGCATCTCTTCGCAAGCGGGGACCTGTTCTTCCGATGCCCGGACTCCCAGTACCCCCCCCCGTCCCGTCCCTCCCGCCCCCCGGCTTCCCATGCGTGCCCCGGGACTTGGGTGCGGGAACCTGGTCGCGGCTCCCCTTGACCGCCGTTAAGCGCTCCACTCGCACCGCGGCTTGGGAACCGAGAGAAAGTCTTTGTGGTGACGAGAGAGAGTTGGGGGCAGAAACTCGACCAGAGCCGCGGAGGGGGGGTTTGCAGCGCCCAGGCGTGAGCCGGCCTCGGCGGGGAGGGACGCGCTGGGGCCGGTGGGTTCCAAGCGCTCGCACATCAACAGACGACCATGTCCGGCGGAGGGAGGCTGTTTTCCGCAGAAGCCCGCCTGCCCTTGCGGGCTGGGTGGAAATTTCCCCGCGGCGCACACTTCTCCGGGCGAGGGCGAACTTTCCAGCCGCCCCCAGCCCCGGGCCGCGCTCTCCCCCGGCTTCCTGCCCGGCGCTCGCTCCAGCTGGAGCGCTGGCCCCGCCCCCGCCGCTTTGTACTCTACGCTCGCCTCTCGCAGCTCTTTGTACTCTAGACTCTGAATGGACCGATCCCGGGAGCGGAGCCGGCTCCCTACCTGGGGGACGCCGGGTAGGCGCGGCGGAGGCGCGGGGACGGGGATCCTAGGCCCGCAGAGGTGACCGGGAAGAGCTGGGGCTGAAGGGAAGGTGCCCGCAAGGGGAGCACTGCGGGTCGTGGCGGCACCAACGGGAAGGGGCGGGGGGTGGGGGGAGGCGAAGGAGGAAGTGAAACGGGCTCTGGGTTCTTTAAGGGAGTGGGCGGTGAGAGTGGGACAGGGGTGATGTCACCGCCTGTCGGGCCCCGCCCTCCTCCCTCCCAAAGGACCCCCCCTTACACTTACACACGCCGCTTCCGCTGCGCAAGTAGCCACGTCACGGGCAACCCCCGAAATCCCCCCTCCCTTGGGGGGCGGGGGCCACGTGGGCCGTGGGGAACCGCGTGGCCCCGACGGGGAAGGGCATAGAGGATACGGGAGCCACGCGAGAGGGGCCACTCGGGACCGCGGTGCGCGACTTCTCAGAAGTTGGGGGGATTGAAGATTTCGGTTTGGGGGGCCGCTAGGTATTAAAGATGTAGAGAGGTGGGGGGAGTGGAGGAGCTGGGGGAATTAGGTGCGAGGCGGCGGGGGGCTTGGCTGTGGATGGGATGGGGTCAGGCGCCGGGGGTGGAGCTCTCAGCTCGCGGCGCGGGCGGGCCCGGGTACCGGAGAAGTCGCCGTGACCCGGCCAGCCCGAGCACTTAGTTACAGGGGCGCTCGAGGTGGGAGCGAGGCACTGCGCTAGGGGAGGTGAGGAAGGGGGAGCGACGCCTTAGTCCGCGCGGGGAGTCCGTGCCGGTCGTCGGTCTCACGGCGGCGGGGCGGGGGCCGCTGCGAGCGCTCCTGCCGGAACTACCGGTGGCTCCGTGGGTGCGTGGGACCCGTGGGTAGCGCCGTCCCCCAGGCCGGCCCAAGCGTGCGACCTGCCGCCGTCACCTACGGGGGTCCCAGGCTCCGGCGGCCCGAGCGGCAGGTCCGAGATGGAGACTCTAGCTGGGAGCCGCGGGGTCACTGCGGGGTCACCCCGGGCCGAGCCCGTCTGACCGGCTCCGCCACCCCTCCTCCCCCGGCCGGCCGCGGCCGGGCTAACCTGGCTCCCATTGGTCCCGGCCAGGCTGTTACTGAGGCGGAGACACGGGTGATGATTGGCTGTCTGGGGAGAGAGGAAGTCTTGTGATTGGCCGGATCTCAAGAGATCGCCGACGCCGTGAGAGGACGCTCCCACGGAGGCCGGGTAAGCCGCCACGGTGCTGGTGCTGCCGGTCCTCCCCGGGGCTCCCGACCGCGGGGCTGCGGGCTCCCGGCCCGCTCCCCTCCGCCGGCCGCCCGCCTTCCCTCCCGGACCGCTGGGGGCTCTGCCGGCGGCGGGTGTCCGTTCTTGGGGGAAGCCGGGGCGGGACCCGCGGTGCAGATGACCGCCGGCCAGCCCCTGGGCCTCAGGTGAGTGCTGGCCAGCTCCCCTCACTCCTCCTCCTCCCCTCTGTAGAGTTGTCTGTGAACGGCCCCGGTGGCCATCTGGGGGCAGTGGGCACTCCTGTCAGAGCGTCTGGAGCGGACCGTCGCCCCCGAGAGCTGGGGCAGGGGGCCGTGCCCGATCTCCAGGGCTCCTGGGGCCACTGCTGACCTGGTAAGGGAAAGACTGGGACCGGGTTGGCCGGGTGCATCCTGCTGGCTCAAGCTGTGTCCCCACTGACAGTGTCATCTCTTCTCCCTGGCTCAGGCTGGATGCATCGGGCAGTGGACCCTCCAGGGGCCCGCGCTGCACGGGAAGCCTTTGCCCTTGGGGGCTTGAGCTGTGCTGGGGCCTGGAGCTCCTGCCCGCCCCATCCCCCTCCTCGTAGCGCATGGCTGCCTGGAGGCAGGTGAGAACTTGGGGTCTGTCTCCAGGCACCCCTTTTCCCATCCCCTTGGCTCCTCAGTCCTTGTCATTCTCTGGGTTTTTGCCATTCCGCACAGCCCTTGGCTGCTTTCTTTTGGCCTCTCAGGCTCCTCCTTTCTAGGTAGGGACAGGACTACTTTATCTTGCTGTATGCTAACAGCCATTCTCTCTCTAGGTGCTCTGCCAGCATCGGGCAGCCCCCACTCTCTGCTCCCCTACCCCCTTCACATGGCAGTAGCTCTGGGCACCCCAACAAACCGTATTATGCTCCAGGGTGAGTAAGGAGTTAAAGGTGCTGGGGACAGGTGGTAAGTCTGGAGCCCTGGGAGGAGTTTCCCAAGCCTCACCAACCCCCACAACCCCTTCTGCTCTTTAGGACCCCCACCCCGAGACCCCTCCATGGGAAGCTGGAATCTCTGCATGGCTGCGTGCAGGCATTGCTCCGAGAGCCAGCTCAGCCAGGGCTGTGGGAGCAGCTTGGGCAGCTGTACGAGTCCGAGCACGATAGTGAGGAGGCCATTCGCTGCTACCACAGCGCCCTTCGATACGGAGGAAGCTTGGCTGAGTTGGGGCCCCGCATTGGGCGACTACAGCAGGTGGGATGAGGCAGGCCCCGGGGCAGCCTGAATTGTGCCTCTGCACCAGGACCCTCATCTTCGTTTTCTGCTTCTGCCCCCAGGCCCAGTTCTGGAACTTTCATGCTGGTTCCTGCCAGCACCGAGCCAAGGTCCTGCCCCCATTGGAGCAAGTGTGGAACTTGCTGCACCTCGAGGTGAGACTGGGGGCTGGACTGGGCTAGTGGGGAGGGCCCCGGGCTGGGGCTGCAGCTGTACCATTCTCTCTCTTGTTTGTCTCCAGCACAAGCGGAGCTATGGGGCCAAGCGAGGAGGCCCCCCAGTGAAGCGAGCTGCTGAACCCCCTGTGGTACAGCCCGTGCCTCCCGCAGCGCTCTCAGGCCCCTCGGGGGACGAGGGCCTCAGTCCTGGAGGCAAGCGCAGGAGAGGCTGCAGCTCAGAGCAGGTATGGTTGTGTGTGACCAGGCAGGCAGCCAGCATACAGGGCTGGGGTGCGGAGCAGGGGTTCTCACACTCCCTTTCCTTCTAGACTGGCCTTCCCCCAGGGCTGCCGTTGCCTCCACCACCACTGCCACCGCCGCCACCACCGCCACCGCCCCCCCCACCCCTGCCTGGCCTAGCCACTAGCCCTCCATTTCAGCTGACCAAGCCAGGGCTGTGGAGTACCCTACATGGAGACGTCTGGGGCCCTGACCGCAAGGGTTCAGTGCCCCCAGAGCGCCAGGTAAGCACCTACCTGTTTATTGTCCTTCATCTCTCCAGCGCGAGGTCCATGCCCTGCATTCCTCACCTGTGGTCCTCCTTCCTCTCCCGCAGGAGCAGCGGCACCCGCTGCCCCACCCATATCCATACCCAGTTCCGGCCTACACCACGCACCCCCCTGGCCACCGGCTGGTCCCGGCCGCACCCCCAGGCCCCGGCCCCCGCCCCCCAGGAGCAGAGAGCCATGGCTGCCCGCCTGCCACCCGTCCCCCCGGAAGTGACCTTAGAGAGAGCAGAGTTCAGAGGTCGCGGATGGACTCCAGCGTTTCACCAGCAGCAACCACCGCCTGCGTGCCTTACGCCCCTTCCCGGCCCCCTGGCCTCCCCGGCACCACCACCAGCAGCAGCAGTAGCAGCAGCAGCAGCAGCAGCAGCAGCAGCAACACCGGTCTCCGGGGCGCGGAGCCGAACCCAGGCATCGTGAGTGCCCGTGGCGGGTGGAGTGAGGCGCTGGGCCTCCAGGAACTCTTAAGGAGGTGGGGAGTAGCCAGAACAGCCCTCTGACTGGTGCTTCCCCCCATTCTCTGCCTGCAGCCCAGCGCTGACCATTACCAAACTCCCGCGCTGGACATCTCCTCCCACCAAGGCCGCCTGGGGCCCTCGGCGCACAGCAGTCGGAAACCGTTCCTGGCGGCTCCCGCTGCCACTCCTCACCTGTCCCTGCCACCTGGACCCCCGTCACCTCCTCCACCACCCTGTCCCCGCCTCCTACGCCCCCCACCACCTCCTGCCTGGCTGAAGGGCCCGGCCTGCCGGGCAGCCCGCGAGGATGGGGAGATCTTAGAGGAGCTCTTCTTTGGGGCTGAGGGACGCCCCCGCCCTCCCCCACCACCCCTCCCTCACCGCGAGGGCTTCTTGGGGCCTCCGGCTCCCCGCTTTTCTGTGGGCACTCAGGATTCTCACACCCCTCCCACCCCCCCAGCCACCAGCAGCAGCAGCAGCAACCATGGCAGCCACAGCAGCAGCCCTACGGGGCCTGTGTCCTTCCCTCCGCCTCCCTATCTGGCCAGAAGTTTGGACCCCCTTCCGCGGCCCCCCAGCCCCACACTGAGCCCCCAGGACCCACCTCTTGCACCCTTGACTCTTGCCCTGCCTCCAGCTCCTCCCTCCTCCTGCCACCAAAATACCTCAGGAAGCTTCAGGCACCCGGAGAGCCCTCGGCCCAGGGTCTCCTTCCCAAAGACCCCCGAGGTGGGGCCGGGGCCATCCCCAGGCCCACTGAATAAAGCCCCCCAGCCTGTGCCGCCCAGGGTTGGGGAGCTGCCTGCCCGAGGCCCACGGCTCTTCGATTTTCCCCCTACCCCGCTGGAGGACCAGTTTGAGGAGCCGGCTGAATTCAAGATCCTCCCTGACGGGCTGGCCAACATCATGAAGATGCTGGACGAATCCATTCGCAAGGAGGAGGAGCAGCAGCAACAGGAGGCAGGCGTGGGCCCCCCGCCCCCGCTGAAGGAGCCCTTTCCATCTCTGCAGCCTTCATTCCCCAGTGACACAACCCCAGCCACCACGGCAGCCCCGGCAGCCACCGCTACCACCACCACTGCCACCCAGGAAGAAGAGAAGAAGCCACCACCAGTCCTGCCACCGCCGCCGCCTCTTGCGAAGTTCCCACCGCCCCAGCCCCAGCCCCCACCGCCACCCCCGCTACCCCCAGCAGCCAGCCCAGCCAGCCTGCTCAAATCCTTGGCCTCCGTGCTGGAGGGACAGAAGTACTGTTACCGGGGGACCGGAGCAGCTGTTGCCACCCGGCCCGGGCCCTTGCCCACCACGCAGTATTCCCCCGGCCCCCCGTCAGGTGCTACCGCCCCGCCGCCTGCCTCGGCGGCCCCCAGCGCCCGGGGCTCCCCGCAGCCCTCTGCTTCCTCGTCATCTCAGTTCTCTACCTCAGGCGGGCCCTGGGCCCGGGAGCGCAGGGCGGGCGAAGAGCCAGCCCGAGGCCCCACAGCCCCTGCCCCACCGCCGCCGCCGCCCCCACCCCTGCCTCTGCCTCCTGCTCGATCTGAGTCTGAGGTGCTAGAAGAGATCAGTCGGGCTTGTGAGACCCTCGTGGAACGGGTGGGCCGGAGCACCGCAGACCTGGCCGGCCCGGTGGACATGGCAGGCCCGGTGGACAGTGTGACAGAGCGGCTGTTGCCTCCTGCCCAGGCCCGGGAGGAGGGTGGCGGGGCAGTGGCAGCAGCAGGACCTGGCAGTGGCAAGCGGCGGCAGAAGGAGCATCAGAAGGAGCACCAGAAGGAGCACCGGCGGCACCGGCGAGCCTGTAAGGACAGCACGGGTCGGCGGCCCCGAGAGGGCAGAGTGAAGACCAAGGCCAAGGCCCCCAAAGAAAAGAGCCGCCGGGTGCTGGGCAACCTGGACCTGCAGAGTGAGGAGATCCAGGGGCGTGAGAAGGCTCGGCCCGATCTCGGCGGGGCCTCCAAGGCCAAGCCACCCGCAGCCCCGGCCCCTCTGCCAGCTCCTGCACCTGCTGCCCAGCCCGCACCGCCCTCCGCTCCCACCCCCGGGAAGAAGGCCCGGGAGGAAGCGCCGGGGCCGCCCGGGGTCAGCCAGGCTGACATGCTGAAGCTGCGCTCGCTTAGTGAGGGGCCCCCCAAGGAGCTGAAGATCCGCCTCATCAAGGTGGAGAGCGGTGACAAGGAAACCTTTATTGCCTCTGAGGTGGAAGAGCGGAGGCTGCGCATGGCGGACCTTACCATCAGCCACTGCGCTGCCGACGTCGTGCGGGCCAGCAAGTAAGTCAGGGGCAGGCACCCAGGAGGCTCCCCCACCAGTCCCCACACCTGCCTTGTCGCCCTGGTATCCCTGCACTCCGTCTCTGTCCTCCCACAGGAACGCCAAGGTGAAAGGGAAGTTTCGAGAGTCCTACCTTTCCCCCGCCCAGTCTGTGAAACCCAAGATCAACACTGAGGAGAAGCTACCCCGGGAAAAACTCAACCCACCCACCCCCAGCATCTATGTACGTGTGCCTCTTGCACGCTCAGAACCACTGCTGCCACCGGGTTCTCAGCCAGGGCTGGGTGGGGGACCCTCAGGCCCTGAGCCTGAGACCCGGCTCTCACCCCTGTCCATCTCCTCACACCTCAGCTGGAGAGCAAACGGGACGCCTTCTCACCCGTGCTACTGCAGTTCTGTACGGACCCTCGAAATCCCATCACCGTGATCCGGGGCCTGGCGGGCTCCCTGCGGCTCAGTGAGTGGGGAGAGGACAGGAGGGTGTGGGGAAGAGGCCTCTGAGGGCTGCCCCTGTACTTGGGGACCCCTGCCAGGGCCTATCACGAGCTCTTGGTCACTATAGGCCATATCTGAAGAGTGCTCAGAGGGATGGGTCTGTGGGCCTCGGGCTTGTCTCCCAGCTGTTTGTCCCAGCTGTTTGCACTGGGGCTGGATCCCAGGACCTGGTTAGAGTCACTTTTGGTTTTCTTGGTTGATTATAGGAGAAGGGTACAGATGATACAGAACCCACAGGTTTGGGGTTTTCCCTTTTTCAATCCTTTTATTGTGCAAAACTTCAGACAGAGGTACATATACAGAAAGGGAAACCACATAGAAACAAAAATTCTGTTTTTTCTATCCCGGTAGCATCCTCTATCTCCACATACCCTCCTTTCTCCCCACTGAGTTATTTGAAACATATTCTAGGCTGTCACGTGACTAAATCTCTTGTGGGAGCCAATGATAACTTAAGGAAACCTGCATGCGTAGAGCGCTCTTGTGTGCACACCGACAATTCTGGTGGAGGGGCCCAGCAGCAGTGGGAGAAAGGGGGTTGCAGGTGACCCAGATGAAGGCCAGGTCCCCAGAGCCAAGCCTCCCAGCTGCCTGTGGGCCTGGGCTTGTGGCCCATGCTTCCTGGGCTGAGCCCGTCAGAGGCCCACCCCCCGCCCTCTGCCCCTGCCCCAACGCACTGCCTGGTCCTCCCTTGCAGACTTGGGCCTCTTCTCCACCAAGACGCTGGTGGAGGCAAGCGGTGAGCACACGGTGGAGGTGCGCACGCAGGTGCAGCAGCCCTCCGATGAGAACTGGGATCTGACGGGCACGCGGCAGATCTGGCCCTGCGAGAGCTCCCGTTCCCACACCACCATTGCCAAGTATGCGCAGTACCAGGCCTCATCCTTTCAGGAGTCCCTGCAGGTGAGGGGGGGGTGGAGGCAGGTGGTCCGGATCGTAGGCGGAGGGGTGGGGCACCCCCTGGATAGGCACTGACCCACTCCTGCCCCCCTCTCACACCCTCGCGGCCAAGCAGGAGGAGAAGGAGAGTGAGGATGAGGAATCTGAGGAGCCCGACAGCACCACAGGAACCCCTCCCAGGTGGGTCCGGTTAGGCCCTCCCCTCCCTGACTCCTTCCTTCCTTCCTTCCTTCCTTCCTTCCTTCCTTCCTCCCTCCCTCCCTCCCTCCCTTCCTTCCTTCCTTCCTTCCTTCCTTCCTTCCTTCCTTCCTTCTCCACCAACCCCTGCTCTCTCCCCCTGGCAGCAGCGCACCGGACCCGAAGAACCATCACATCATCAAGTTTGGCACCAACATCGACCTGTCTGATGCCAAGAGGTCGGTGAGGTCGGGCCTGTTGTGCTGCTGGGTGGGCAGAGTTGGGTGGGGGTCGCACCTCACTTCTGTTGCACCCTGAACCCCGCAGGTGGAAGCCCCAGCTGCAGGAGCTGCTCAAGCTGCCCGCTTTCATGCGGGTCACATCCACTGGCAACATGCTGAGCCACGTGGGCCACACCATCCTGGGCATGAACACCGTGCAGCTGTACATGAAGGTCCCTGGCAGTCGAACTCCAGGTGCGCTTCTAAGCGTGGCGCTTCTAAGCGTGGCGCGCGCGCTGCTGGGGCTGGGGGGTCGGGGGCGGGGCTGCCGCCGGCGCTCCTCCGCCAGCCAATGAGGGCGCGAGGGCGGGCTGGGCGCGGAGCGCAGGCTCCGCTCTGGCCAGCCACGCCGTACTCTGTCGCCCCCTGCAGGCCACCAGGAGAACAACAACTTCTGCTCCGTCAATATCAACATCGGGCCAGGTGACTGCGAGTGGTTCGCGGTGCACGAACACTACTGGGAGACCATCAGCGCCTTCTGCGACCGGTGCGCGCCGCCCTGGCCCCGGCCCCTGCCCCGCAGACCCGGCCCTGGGTCCCCCGGACTTCACCTGACCCTGTGACCACCCCGCAGGCACGGCGTGGACTACCTGACCGGTTCCTGGTGGCCAATCCTGGATGACCTCTATGCTTCCAACATCCCTGTGTACCGCTTCGTGCAGCGCCCCGGAGACCTTGTGTGGATTAATGCGGGCACCGTGCACTGGGTGCAGGCCACTGGCTGGTGCAACAACATCGCCTGGAACGTGGGGCCCCTCACCGGTGAGAGGGTGGGGCCCGCAGGGAGTGATCCCAGCGGGGTGGAGGAGGGGGGTGGCGGGAGCTGGCCACAGCTGGGTGGGGAAGGGCCTGCCCCTCACCCCATCCCCGCGGCCCGGTGGGCCTGGCAGCCTCAGCGTCCCCCTCCGGCCCGCAGCCTATCAGTACCAGCTGGCCCTGGAACGATACGAGTGGAACGAGGTGAAGAACGTCAAATCTATCGTGCCCATGATTCACGTATCATGGAATGTGGCTCGTACGGTCAAAATCAGCGACCCGGACTTGTTCAGGATGATCAAGTGAGGGCCCCACGGGGGGGAGGAATCCCTCTCCACCTCACCTGGCGGGGCTCTCATTCTACCATTCTACTTGTCTGATTCCACCCTTGACCCCCTGCCCTGCGCTGTTCCTGGGCCCCCGGGGCAGACCACAGGGACCCCACCCCCAGGCGCTCGCTGGGTCCAAATAGATACAAACCCCATCACCTGTCGGGACCGGGGCCCTCCCCACCTGTGGCCTGACCACCACCAACAACCCCCCCACCGCGCGCAGGTTCTGCCTCCTGCAGTCCATGAAGCACTGCCAGGTGCAACGCGAGAGCCTGGTGCGGGCCGGGAAGAAGATCGCCTACCAGGGCCGGGTCAAGGATGAGCCCGCCTACTACTGCAACGAGTGCGACGTGAGTGGGCCCGCCCCTGCCCCGCCCCCTTCCCCTCCCCCGTGGGCTGTCCTCTTGCTGACGGCCCCCTGCCCGCCTCCTGCGCCCGTCCCCAGGTGGAGGTGTTCAACATCCTGTTTGTGACGAGCGAGAATGGCAGCCGCAACACGTACCTCGTGCACTGCGAGGCCTGTGCGCGGCGCCGCAGTGCGGGCCTACAGGGCGTGGTGGTGCTGGAGCAGTACCGCACTGAGGAGCTGGCGCAGGCCTACGACGCCTTCACGCTGGTGAGCACCGGGGCGGGTGGGCAAGAGGTGCGGGCCAGGCGTGGGGGCCCCCCCTCTGAGCCCCCCCCCCCCCGCTGAGCCCGCCGCCTGCTCTCTCCTGGCAGGCCCCCGCCAGCACGTCGCGATGAGGCCGGACGCCCCGCACGCCCGCAGGCGCCGCGGGGCCACCAGCACACGCCTGGGCTGGACCTAGGTCCCGCCTCTGGCCGGGAAGGGGGTCGGGCCCAGCCCTTCCACCCCATTGGCAGCTCCCCTTCACTTAATTTATTAAGAAAGTTTTTTTTTTTTTTTTTTAACAAATACGAGGAAAAAAGGAAAAAAAATGGGAGACGGGGGAGAGGGCTGGTAGCCCCTCGCCCACCAGCGCCTCCCCTCACCGACTTTGGCCTTTCTAGCAACAGACACAAGGACCAGGCTCCGGCGGCGGCGGGGGTCACATACGGGTTCCCTCACGCCTGCCAGCCGCCCGACCGCCCGGCGCAGATGCACGTGGCTCGTGTATGTACATAGACGTTACGGCAGCCGAGGTTTTCATGAGATTCTTTCTATGGGCTTTACCCCTCCCCCAGAACCTCCTTTTTTACTTCCAATGCTAGCTGTGATCCCTGTACATGTCTCTGTTTATTCACTCGGTTTATGATTTGTACTTTCTGGGGTTTTTTTGTTTTGTTTTGTTTTGTTTTTTGGTTTTTAATTTATAACAGTCCCACTCACCTCTATTTATTCATTTTTGGGAAAACCCGATCTCCCGCACCCCCCTCCCCAAGACATCCTGCCGCCCCTCCAGGGACCGCCCGTAGCCGGGTTCTCCTTGCCGCCCCCCCCCCCGCCCCCCCCAGTGTGTGTCTGGGCCCGGCCTGTCCGTCTCCGCCCGCGGCTCCAGCCGGGTTCTCATGGTGCTCAAACCCGCTCCCCTCCCCGACGTCCTGCACTTTCTCGGACCAGGCCCCCACTCCCGACCCGACCCCAACCCCACCTGAGGGTGAGCGACTCCTGTACTGTAGGGGAAGAAGTGGGAACTGAAATGGTATTTTGTAAAAAAAAAATAAATAATAATAATAATAATAAATAAATAAAAAAATTTAAAGTTTTAAAGAAAGAACTATGAGGAAAAGGAACCCCGTCCTTCCCAGCCCCGGCCAATTTTAAACACACGGACCTTCCCCTTCCCTACCCCCTCCCGCCCTCTTTTCTTTTCAAAGCGTGAACCAGCCCAGGGCCAGGGCCTCACTGGGGCAGGGACACCCCGGGATGAGTTTCTCTGGGGCTTGATTTTTGTTTCGTCGTGGTTTTTTCTCCCACGCTGGGGCTGCGGTCGGGTGGGGGGTTTACAGTCCCGCCCCTCGCACTGCACTGTCTCTCTGCCCGAGGGGCAGAGGGGTCTTCCCAACCCTATCCCTATTTTCGGTGATTTTTGTGTGAGAATATTAATATTAAAAATAAAATCAGAAAAACATTTGGTTTTGACAACGTGCTCGTGCTGGCGGGGCGCGCCCCGGCGGGGGGGGGGGGGGCTATGGGGCCAACTGCGCAGACCCCGGCGGCCGAGCCCCTCCCCAGGCGCCTGTGGAATGTCCAGAGCGCAGGTCCGCTCCTCGGTCTGGGGTGGGGGGGTGCCTAATCCCGGCGCCGCATTCCAGGATAAGGGGGGGTGGGGAGAGGCTGGGCCGGGGGAGGGGCAGGAAGGAGCGCTATAAGGGCTGCGGCCCTGGCGGGCGGGAGCCAGGCCGGCCATGGCGGAGGTCCCCGGGGCGCAGCGCCCGGCTCCCGGCGGCGGCCCGGAGCCCCGGGACCCCCTGGACTGCTGGGCTTGCGCGGTGCTGGTCACGGCCCAGAATCTGCTGGTGGCCGCCTTCAACCTCCTGTTGCTGGCGCTGGTGCTGGGGACCATCCTGCTGCCCGCCGTCACCATGCTAGGTTTCGGCTTTCTCTGCCACTCCCAGGTGAGCACGCGGGCCCTCGTGGGGCGGGGGGCGCAGGGGTCCGCGGGCCAGGGCCCGACGCCTTGTCTCCTCCTGCAGTTCCTGCGCTCCCAGGCGCCCCCCTGCACCGCGCACCTGCGGGACCCGGGCTTCACGGCCCTGCTGGTCACTGGATTCCTGCTCCTCGTGCCGCTGCTCGTGCTGGCCCTGGCCAGCTACCGCCGCCTGTGCCTGCGCCTCCGCCTGGCCGACTGCCTCGTGCCCTACAGCCGAGCCCTGTACCGGCGCCGGCGCGCCCCGCAGCTGCGGCAGACCCGGGCCTCGCCGGGCACCCAGGCCGGCTCCACGTCAGGAAAGGTCTGGGTCTGAGGATCCTCTCGAGTCAAAAGCCACCCCGACGACCCCCCCCCCCTCCGTCTCTCAGTCGGCCCGAGAACTTGAAGCCCGGGGGTCGCCCGACCTACCCCGCCCCCACCCCAGCCTAAGCCGGGGCCCAGCATCCCTTCGAAGAACCGCTGAGCATCTACGGATCCAAAGCTGGCGGAAATCCGCCACACCCCGGAAAACCCACGTTCCTCCTGCTACCTAGATCCGAATCCTGAACATCTGGGCTGGACCCTACACACTCTCCACCACTCCACCCTTCCCTTCCCCCGCCCCCGTCGTTGGGACCACTCAGCCTCGTGTCCTCTTCTGGTGCAGCTCCTCTAGTATTTACGGGCTTGGGGGGCGAGGTTGGAGGGGAAGGAGTGACCACACATCAAATAAAGAGTGAACTGAATGCGTTCCCGGGATCCTGTGAACAGAGAGATGGCACACGTCCTGTCACTCCTGCCCGGTGCCCATAGGCAGGAAACAATACGGGGTGGGGGGCGGGGGCTCCAGAGCGCATCCTTCAGCCTCCCGCCTTCCCTTATCGCATTAGCCCGTTCTTCCTGGCTAGACCCCAGAGTCAACCTCCCCCTCAATAGAGGCCTCTGCTGCCTGCCCTGCTCCCCCCTGGGGACCCGAGCCCGTTCTCTGACCCCAGCTTGGAGGAACTCGGTGTTGCCAGGCCGGGGAGGGAAACAATGGGCCTTCCGGAGCAGGATGACACCCCCTCCAGCCACAATTCTGGAGCAGCAGCGTGGGAGGGAAGATGGAGGGGCCCACCCTGGGGCCTGCTGGTCCTTAGTGCATCCCCACCCCCGAACCGGAGGGAGCCTCTGGCTGCCCCACACGGCCAGGTAGGCAAAGGAGAGTTGAGAGTGCTCCCGACATCCCAGCCACACTCGGACACCAGGCACTTCGTTACAGGTTTAATGGTGTGCAAAGCACGCGCGATCGTGGTCAGAGATAAGGAGGCCCCGCCAGGCTCTCCCTCTGCACTTCAATAGAGACGATGTGGTGGCCGGGTACCATGGCCAGGCCCAGGACGCGGGGCTCCCCCGCGGAGAAGGAATCTGCAAAGAAGAGGTCAGAGCATTAGGGAGGCGGGCCAGAGCCGGTCCCGCCCCAGGACACCGGGGGACTCCGCCGCAGTCCCGGGAGGATGTCCTCGGGCACTGACCCGACGGCTTGAGGAACTCCTGCGCCGAGCCCAGGATGACATTGCAGTCGCGGTCGGTGCACAGGAAGCAGCCGACCAGGGTCCGTCCGTCTGTCATGCGAATGCGCATAGTCTTGTTGAGCAGCGCCTCCAGCTGCTGCCGGGCACGCGCGGCCGGCGAGTCCTCGCGCTCCCCGTCTGAGTCCTGCGCGGGGCGGGACACGCGCTGAGACGGCGCAGCCCCGGCGGCAGCCCTCCCGCGGAACCACAGCTCCCGACAGCCCGCGGGGCGCTCACACGGAGCCCGGGGGCTGCCGGGAGCTGCAGTTCCCCCTCCGTCCCCCCCATCTTGCTCCCCGGCTGGCCCTCGATCCCAGAACCCGAGCCCGCGCTAACCCCGGCGCTGGAGCTGCTTTGACGCCGGCTGCAACAGCCATTCTCTTCTCGTAGCAGCATGGCTGGTCCAGCTCCGGCCATTTGCCCCGGGGCCGGCTCCGGGCCCTTCAACTTCCTAAGAACCTTTTGGGTCCGGTGGTCCGAGATCTCGCGAGTGCTCCCGACCTCTTTTCTTTCGCGAGATCACCTCCCCTCCTCCTCCTGTCTCCTGGGCAACTGCAGAGATCTCGCGAGTTTCTCCTACTGCTCCGGCACTGTGGCTCACTGCGGCCTACGGCGCCGGATGCCTTAAGATATCGCGAGAAGTTTTCCCTCTTTAGTTTCATGCAAATCCTTCAGAAATCCTGGCATGTAGCGAGACGATCTTTTCTCGTCATCGCTTTGCACCCCATCGTCCCTTGCTTTTCTGCCTCGCGACACAGTCTGTCCTAAATATCCCCTCCAGCCCAGATCACTCTGAACACGGAGCTTTCGCTTCCCCCCGCCCCCAAACCTCTGCAGGACGCAACTCAGTTTCTTGAAAGCTAGATTCAGACTACGTTTCCAGTGAGCACGGACGGGCCCTCGTCCCGAGTGTTTGATCTCCGTGGACGGTGGCCGGGAAGGGACAATGGTTTCCATGTCAGCGGAGCAACGCGCTCGCTAGGAGGAAAGATGCCACGCAGGGAGTGAATGAGTGAGTGAGTGAGGGCGTGCTGAGGGGCGACGAAGCAACCAGAGAAGCTGATGGCCGACAGTGCAAGAGCCATGCAGCGCCGGGGCCTCGTGGACGGACCGGACTTTGAGTTTTTCCAGCGTCGCTATTTTACGCCGGCCGAGGTGGCCGAACACAACCTGCCGGAAGACCTGTGGGTGTCTTACCTGGGATCCGTGTACGACCTGACGCCGTTGGCTCAGGAGCACAAGGGTGAGGGCCGCGCTCTGGACCAGGGGCAGGGCGTGGGCGTGCATGGGAGCGGGGGCGGGCTTGGGCAGCCAGCCCTGACGGCGGCTGCTCCTTCCCCAGGGGACCTGCTGCTAAAACCCATCATAGAAGTTGCGGGCCAGGACATCAGTCACTGGTTTGACCCGAAGACCAGAGACGTGAGCCCTGCCGGACCGTGGGTTGAGGGTGGGGTGGGGGGAGAAGCGGGGGTGGCGGGAGCCGGAGGTGCTGACTGCCCTTCCCCCTGCAACCCCCTCCCCAACCCTCTTTAAAGATCCGCAAGCACGTAGATCCGCTGACCGGAACGCTGAGATACCGCACCCCCCGGGGCCGCTTTCTGCACGTCCCGCCTCAGCTGCCCCGTTCCGACTGGGCCAACGATTTCGGGAAGCCCTGGTGGCAGGGGACGCGCTACGAGGTGGGGCGGCTGTCGGCCAAGACACGGAGCATCCGCATCATTAACACGCTCACGTCGCAGGAGCACACGCTGGAGGTGAGAACGGGCGCCTGCGGGCAGGTTGGAGGGAACGGGATCCCAGCAAGTCTGCCAGGAGATCTTCGGGCCTTTGGGTCTCCCGTAGCCAATGGGAGCAGGATCCCTTCCCTCCCATCTTTAGGGGCGACCGAGGAGTGCGGACCACCTGGAGAGCGGTCTCCAGGGTTGGGACCCTAGTAGTGGCCGGATCACAGGGTACCAAGACTCCTTCATGCACCTTAGCCACGGTGGTGGCTTGGAAGCACTTCCAGGCAGTTGCAGCCGGACTCTCTTATTAATAAACTCTGTTGAAGGGATGAGGGGAGGGGGCACTGACTCTGACCCTTTAGGGCCATCTGTTTGTTAAAAGTGGCTGCCCTAGAGACAGGTGACACTTTGGGGTCATTCACTGCGTGCTGGAGCCCCAGCTTCATTTGGGGACCAGAGGAAGTACCTAGAAATGCTATCCGCCAAAGAGAGGCTCTCTCTTCTCAGCACTGTCATCTTTTGGGTTCCTGGCTTCAGCGTGGGACATGCACACGATGCATGCACATGTCCCATCCGAAATCCTGGGGAATGGGGTGCTTTCATGTTCTGCAGGTGGGGGCCCTGGAATCAATGTGGGAAATCCTCCACCGGTATCTCCCTTATAATGCACATGCTGCCAGCTATACATGGAAATACGAAGGGAAGAAACTGAACATGGATTATACCCTGGAAGAGAATGGGATCCGGGATGAGGATGAAGAATTTGATTACCTCAATATGGACGGAACACTCTACACACCTGCCATACTGCTCTACTTCAATGATGACCTCACGGAGCTATAGGGGACGAGACAACTGCTTATGTGGACTCAAAACATGTTTTGAGTTTGCTATTTCTGTGCCCCTGCAGGAAGAGAGCTGGGAGTGGGGGGTGGCGGGCAGTGCTGGCTGAGACCTCCATTCCATGCTGGGAACTGGCCGGTGGCTCTTGCGTCCTTCTGAAGCGTGCACATCTTGTTTCCTAGGCCCACTGTGATTTGCTTAGAGAGAGTTAGGGAGAATGTTACCTAATTCTCAGGAGTGAAACGAGAAGTATCTTGGAGGAGGGAGACAGCCAGCCAGAGCTTAAGAAGAACTTTTAGACAGAGAAGTCCTACCCAGGGATGAGGGATGGAAGGAGTTTTGTGACAGTGCGGCAGGAAGATGGGATTTACACAGACAGGAACTGGAGATGTCTATTGCTGGCCTTACAAAACTGGCTGACTCGCCTCCTGAAGAGTGCTTGATAGTTGAAACCCCAAAGGGAAGAAAGAAAGTGAACGGTTAGTAGGTAATTAAGGCCACATGCCTCATACACCCTTTTTATTTTATTTTTTTAAATTTATTTATGATAGGCACACACAGAGAGAGAGAGGCAGAGACATAGGCAGAGGGAGAAGCAGGCTCCATGCACCGGCAGCCCGACGTGGGACTTGATCCCGGGTCTCCAGGATCGCACCCTGGGCCAAAGGCAGGCGCCAAACCGCTGCGCCACCCAGGGATCCCTCATACACCCTTTTTAATACGACTACTCTAAGATGGGCACCATCCCCACGATTTTATACATGAGTCTTTTGAAGCTTAGATTTTTTTTTTTCCCTATTGGGGGTTAGAAGCAATGGGTGACCCTGGCAGCGTCGCCTCTAGCAAGTAAGAGGGGAGCTACCTAAACTCAACAATATTTAGTAGCACAGAAGCACACAAGTTAGCGGCCAGGATGCAAACTCGAATCCAAATCCAAAGTTCACGTTCTTTCAGTGCAGAGAGGACCTTGCTGTCCTCGTCTCATTGCACAACAGGACCCTGCCAGCCTGTTGTGTTCGCAGTTTCTTCTGCCCTTAGTGTCTCGGGAAGGGAGTTAGCAGAGCTCTGTGGTGGCAGGGAAGGGGCAGGGAGGAGGCTGGGAGGGCCACCAGCTGAGCAACGGCTAGCCAGGCTGCCCCCAGTAGCCCACAGCTAAATCTTCTGGCTTTTCTGAGGCAAAGAGGTGGATGGATACGGACTCCATGGAAGACGAGAATAGGGAAAGGGCCTTTGGATAGGGGATCAAAATGGAGGCAGATGGTAGCACATATTCACGATGGGCCTGTGCCCCTTAGGGAAGGTGAGGAAAACAGGGTCCACTTGCAAGACAGCGACTCCTCAGGGGGCTCGACAGGGGTGATGTAAAGAGAGAAGCTCACTGGGTCAGAAAACTGGTGATCAAAAGACAACCGTGTGGGAGGCAGCGGCCAGATTTGTCCCCTTGAACCTTGGGAAGGGGGATGAGAATGACAGGTGAATTTCCCGACGGGAGCCACAGAGGCTCAGGGCCAGGCTCATAGGCCTGGGCATTTTCATAGGGGCTGGCCGAGGGGCTACCCGGAGGTGGAGGCAGGTACCTGCCTCAGCACTTTCCAAACACACTGAGACCCAGGGCTGCCCCTCGTCCCGTCCTCCAAGAGGCCGTGAGTGATGAAGCTTTTTTTCTTTCTTTCTTTTTTTTTTTTGATGAAGCTTTCTGATGTGTAGTCAACCCTGTGGTGGATTCATGTGCCTCTTGTTGGCTCAGTTGCACCGACACGACTCGAGAACCCAAGCAATGCTGCTGCTCTGGCGCCAGCCTCCAGGGTCAGCCCAAACCTGCTCCCCTCCCCCTCCCCAAGAGTCTCCCGCTTCAGTGCCTCCTGCTCCTTGCACCCTGGTCACCCTCCAAGTAGATCCTAGCCCCTAAATGCCCCAGGGGTCCACCCTCTTCCTCCCAGCCACTGTCCCCTCTTGTCCAGACTGCTGTACTGATGTCCTAACCAGCCCCCAACTCCTGCCCCCACATGCAGCAGGACAGGTGAGCTCTGAGAACCAAACCCGGGCATCTGCCTCTGCTCCTTCAGATTCCTCAGTGGCTTCCAGGTGCTTTGGCAATAAAGCCCTGTCAGTCCGAAGACACTGCGTGAACCAGCCTGGGCCTGCCTCGCATTACTCTGTTCTGTTCCATGTCCCTGCCGCCCATGGAATGTCCTCCTGCCTCAGGACCCCCACACACTGTTCCCTCTGCCCCCACACTCTTCCTCCCATCGACCCCCTAGCTGACCCTGCAGGTTTCTTCCTCTGGCAAGCTTTTCTGCTATCTTGGTGTAGAAAGCAAGACTTTCCATGAGATGGCTCTTAGCATCGCTCTTATTTCAGAGCACTTCTTACAATGGAAATTTTAAGATCCTAGATGTGGTTGGCTGGTCAGCTGCTAGACTGGAAGCTCACGAGGGCAAAGGCCGGGTCCACCTTGTTCATGGTCATCTTCCCAGTGTTGGGCGCATGGTAGCTGCTCAATAAACTTTGATAGAATGACCTCAAATGTTGAGTGAATCCATGTGTCCCTAATAATGAGTGGGTGGGGCCTTGTGTCCTGGAGGCAAGGTGAGGCCAAGCAGTAGGAGGTCTGGCTCCCGCTGGCTCCCCTCAGAACCAAGACCTAACGCTAGAGGCTTCCTCTCCCCAGATTTGGAGGGGGGCATCCATCTGCCATTCCCCCATACTGCCACCAGGTGGCTGTAATCGCCTACAGAGTTGGCATGGCGGGGGAGGAGGGAGAACCTGCCCAAATTCTAAAGAGGTTACAATCAAAGGTGGTTCCTCCAGAGGTACAGGTGGAGGGAAGGATCAGAAAATATAAGGAAGGAATGCCTGGCAGGCTCCGTGGTTGAGCGTCTGCCTTCAGCTGAGAGCGTGACCTCGGGGTCCTGGGACTGAGTCCTGTATCGGGCTCCTGGCAGGGAGCCTGCTTCTCACTCTGCCTGTGTCTCTGCCTCTCTGTGTGTCTCTCATGAATAAGTACAATCTTTTTAAAAAGGAAAAACCACATGCCTGCTATTTTATCAGTATTGGGTTAAATTCTGTTCTACATTTTGTCCACAAGCTCGTGCCAGGAAAGGAGTGCAGTTTGAGAGAAAATCCATGGGGTAGCACAAGTAGGGGCTCTGATTACAGGCAAGCGTGGGGGCTGTGGGAGGCCTACAGACCACGTGCTTCAAAGATAATAGACTACATTCCTTTAGGAATAGTTAGGGACTCGTGTGCAGTGTAAGGCTTTTCACGAGGCACTCCGTCGTTCTCTCCCAATCTAAGGCTGGGTACTTGCATGAGTAAGTAGAAAATGCCTGGGCCAAAAATCTAGAGAGTAAATAACACATGAGTGTAGGCTCCAAGTCCTCTGGTGGTGACCTCTTTCGTTTTGGAGGGATGTGGGGTGATAGCTGGGATATTGTGACTACAAAGGACTCAACTGTCAAATACTTCCCACGACCGGGGTCCCTACAAGCACGTATCACTGAAGATAATAAAGACATGTACGTCTTTGCAGGGAGCCGCCCACTCAGTGGGCTAAAACACACACACATGAACAGGGAAATGAAAACAGTATGTGATAAAGGACCAGATTATGGTATAGAGACTCTTCCACCTTAATGGCAAATCACAAGTGGATTCTTAAGCTGGATCTGCAGAACTGCAGAGGTGGTGTCTAAATATTCTGTGTGTGTGTTGGCACCTGTGTGCAAGCTCAGATATGTATTATTTTGGAGAAAGGAGCTATATTTCCCATTAGTATCAAAATGGCCCAATCCTCTGCCCTGAAAATAGTACACACACACACACCCCACACACATGGGTAATTTAAAGACCCCCCAAAGTAAAATCGCCAAGGTGATAATGTAATGTAGTTCTGTCTCAATGCTCTATCTCAACTGTTACACCTGTGTTCCCACAGCAGCACTTCCTAAAGCTGCGACCCTTGGGGCTAAGTTTATGTCTTGTCTGAAGCATTTTACTACTGTCCCAAATTCCAATCTGGATGTACCCTAGAGCTGAATGAGGGGATCTCTCATTTAGGCTTGACTCTAACACCCAGCCACTGATGGCAGGGTAATGCGCCCAGCCCGTGCAGCTGAGTTCAGGTAAACCGCACAGATATTGTTGATCTTTGGGACTTTACGATATTGGAACAACAGCCACTTTGTGAGGGATCAGCAAGAGCCCATGGAGGTTTACTTGTAAAGAAAGCAAAGTTTGAAACCCGAATGATCTCGAAAACCAAAGATGAGGCATTCAAAATACAAACAGGTAGGCCACCTGAGTCCTGGATAGTCCAGGCATGTGGCAAACACTTAAAATAAAAAACCAAAAAAACAACCAAAAAGCTGGCGAACGAGTATGTCAAGTGAGGCCACTGAAATGGGGCTGGGGTAAAGAAGAGTGGGATGAAGAACCAGACAGTGGAGAGACCACCAGAATTGGGTTTCTCTCTTCCTGCCTCTTGGGAGCCTAAGTTTAGCGGGAACTTGGGCATTCGGCTTCCAGCATTCCACTCGCTCATCTCTGTATCCACAATGGCCATAGGACGCCTGGCAAAGTGTGGCAAAAACTACATACTTGTATTTATTACGCAGGAAATAACGGGACACATAATCCCTAGTATTTGAAATGTCTGCACTCAGGAACCAAGTGGATGTGGATGATGTGAAGCCCCTAGCTGCTTGCCCAATCGCACTATGAGGAGAGAGCCAAAGAGATGCCCTTGATCACATCCGTGCTGGGGAACACTGCCAGCTGTCCTCCAGAGCAGGAAAGGAGGTGAAATGTTCCCCAACCCTCATCAGAAGGCCCTGCTGTGTGGACCTTACTCCACCCCAGCTGGTCATTGAGAATGACCCTGGCTGCAAAGATTGGAAGGCTGAGTGCTGGGGCCTGACTCTTCTAATAAAGACTGAATTATCCCAAATAATAAGAGAATTTGTGGTGCAGTCATTCCACTGGGTAGGTCACGGTATCTGGCTGCTCTTACTTCTGTCCTCGTGTTTGTTACCTTTCTGGCCACTCTGCTGCTAGCCTGTGGGGTGGGCAGGAAGGAGGGAAAGGGGAGACAGGGAGGCTAAGGCCTCGATGGAAGCACCTGTCCTTGGCAGATCTTGGAGCGTGTCTCACTGGTGCGATGCACGTGACACCAGGACCCTTGGCTGCGAGGAATCTGGGATGGTGTATTTTCTTTCTTTCTTTCTTTCTTTCTTTCTTTCTTTCTTTCTTTCTTTCTTTCTTTCTTTCTTTCTCTTTCTTTCTTTCTAGATTTATTTATTTATTTATTTATTTATTTATTTATTTATTTATTTATTTATGATAGAGAGAGAGAGAAGCAGAGACACAGGAGGAGGGAGAAGCAGGTTCCATGCCAGGAGCCCGACATGGGACTCAATCCCGGGACTCCAGGATCGCGCCCTGGGCCAAAGGCAGGCGCTAAACTGCTGAGGCACCCAGGGATCCCCAATGGTGTATTTTCTACTGACGCCCACAACTAAAGCAGGGTCAGGATGGATACTGGGTGGGGACCAGCGATGTCTTCCGTGAGTCATGAGCAATGCTGTTTGTCCACCTGTGAGCGACAAAACATTACTAGGTGCTGTGTCCTGTTGCAGATACTGGGGATGCATAAGCGAGGGTCAGGTGTGGGTCCCCGACTCCCAGGGACATAGCATTCTGGTGGGATAAACAGTAAATGCACAGGCAGGGTTACTTCACATAGAGTACTAAGAGCGATACACTGTATATGCGTGTGCTCACACATACACACACATGCTCACATCTGCTACAAGTACTATAAAAACAAAGCAGCAGAGCCGCCTGAAAGAGTGATGGTCAAATGATCCGAGGCCTGCCTGGGCCAGTGACACAGGCCAGGCCCGAGTGACCTGGAGAGCTGCATTCACCGGCCCCAACCAATCATTCACCTGCCATCACAACAGGCTTAAGAGCTGTTTTTATTGACACTGCAAAGCAAGGACGCGGAAGCAGAGAGAGATGAAGTAACTCGCCAAAGGTCACAGGACTACCTAGTTAGTAGCCAAGATGGGCTTCGAACCAAGCCGGTTGCGGGCCACCCACTTAACCACGGAGTGGCGCCACCTCCCTGCGTGCCACACACGGGTGCCGCCCCAGTGGCCTGCTTATCTCAGCCAGCCCAGGACTCCAGAGGAGACTTCAGACAACCACCACCCTTCATTCTGCGGGTGGACGTGATGCGGGCAGGGGGCAGGGGGCACTGTGTGTTTCCACCCCCAGAGCCGCAGGATCTGCTTGCAAGGCGGCTCACCTGCACAGCAGCGAGGTGCTGGGGACCATGGGGACCCCTTGACCTGCACCCCTCTGCAGGGCAGTGTGGGCTCCCTCCCAGCCTGGTGGCTGGAGTCCTCTGTAATTACCAGGGAGCTTCCTACCCAAAGGGAGGGAACCAGGCTGGGCTTCTCAGATGGAAAAGGGTCAAAGTTATGTTGTAGCAAACATATGCTGCTGTGAGATGTGATTCCTGAGACACCCCCAACCCCCAGGCTCCCTTCTGTCTCATGGCTTCCTCTGCATGGAACATTCCACCCCCCACTCATTGCTTAGCCAGCTCTTCCCCTTGAAAGCTGTGCTCCAGTGTCACCTCCTCAGGGAAGTCTTCCCAGATCCCTTTGCTGAGGTCAAATATTCCTTCACCGCCTCTCAGGCTGCCCTGCAATGAATTTATTGACTATAATTCACAGTTTAATGTCTGCCTTCCTTGCTTCTTAGATTCGAAGCTCTAGGAGGGCAGACAGCATGTCTCTGTGTCTCTGATCAGTCACAAATACCCAAGACTAAGTACAAGGTGCCTGAGGAACACGTGACTCCCAGCTGGGTGATCAGGGAAGGCCGCAGGGAGAAGTATCACCTCCAGCTGAGACCCAGAGGGCCAGGACAGGGATCAGAGGTGGGGCCAGGGGGAGGATAACCGGAGCCTGGTGGGCCAATGGCCTCCTGCAAAGAATAAACAGCACAAACAGTGCAAAGTTTAGGGGTAAGAGCAGAGAGCTCAGTGCTTGGAGAGAAGGCAAAGCTAAGAAACAGAGGCTAGGGGCTGGGGAGGGGAAGTGAGGAGGGGTGTGGAGGTCAGACCAGGTGGAGTGAGACTTTCTCAACCTGGCTTTTGTCTGTTGAGATATAATTCATACACTGTAACATTCACCCTTTCAAAGCATACAATTCAGGGTTAATGGTTTTATAGGGAGAAGGGTGCGATGGTGCAATCGGATTTGCATTTTAAAAAGGTGATTTGCCTCAGAGAGGAGAGAGGAAGGGAGGAAGTGGAGCCATCCTGGAGAGGACTGGAGTGGCCAGGCTGGTACTAAATCAGGGGCAGTGGAGGGCAGAGGAGGACAGACGTGAGGACAGAATCGCACAGCTACATGATTCCTGGGAGCAGGTCTGGGGCAGCAGGAGGAGACAAAGGGACACCCCACAGGGCAAGAGGGTGAAGAGTCCACTGGCAGAGCATGGGACCTGATCTGGGAAGCAGGTGATGTGCTGTGAGTTGGCTGGGATGTGACCTGGGCCACACTAACACTGAACACCAATGTCCCGCTCTTATGGCTCCATGGGACAGGATCCTGAAGAGAGAAGAGGGCTCAGGGCTGGAGATAGGGGTGTGAGACTCATCAGCTGAGCAGCTGTCGCCAGGTGCCAGGCTTGGGGAAGAGCCCCTGGAGGAGGGAGAGAAGCCAGGGTGGTGAGACCATGGTGTGCCATGGATGCCAGAGAGAGTCTGAGAGGAGGGGGTGCTACACGGTGTGCAGCAGGTGTGCAGAGTTCCATCAAGACCCAGACGAGGAAACCACACCTGCAGGAGGCTTTGGAACCACTCACAGAATACTTCGCTTTCCTCAGATTCCCTTTCTATAGATGTAAACATCTATAGACCTATGAACACCTATGAACAATAGGAGGTAGGTTCCACAAAAGGCATCAAGCAGGACACGATCTCTCTACGTAGAAGCTCCCTACAGTGTTGTTGAGAAATTAAATGAGATGGAGTATGGGAGAACCGCCAGCAGTACGAAGGGCACTTTGAACGGGCACCCTAAAATTTTAGATTTCTTTTCCCTTCCTTGGGCCAGCCACAATTTAGTAATTCATGCTTCTTGTGGGATTTCCTGAGATTCAGCGTTATTCAACATCCAGGTAACACTTGTCATGATTAGAAAACCAGTAGATCGGGGCGCCTAGGGGGGCTCAGTGGTTGAGGGTCTGCCTTCAGCTCAGGTCCTGATCCCAGGGTCCTGGGATCGAGTCTCGCATCAGGCTCCCCGCAGGGAGCCTGCTTCTCCCTCTGTGTCTCTGCCTCTCTCTCTCTGGGTCTCCCATAAATAAATAAAATCTTAAAACAAAAACAACCAGTGGGCATACCTGTGACTAACAATTGTGTTTGTGCCTCCATTAGAATGGGGTCCAAAAACCTGGTTTGTTTCCTATTTTCCAGGGTTGGGCTTATAGAGAGGAAGCTGGCGAGAGTCTGGAAACAGGGCCAACTGTTGGGAGCAAGAGAAGCTGCAAGCAGTCCTCACCTCCTTCAGAGTTACATGCTGTCCGAACTTCAGGTCGCCGAATCCTCTCACCTTCAATCCCCTTAAGTGAATCTCTCTGCAGTGAGAAATGGCCAATGGTGAATGTGATTGGTTAGGGTCGGAGTGGCCAGCATGGAGGTTAGCTCCCTAATCCTCTCCCTGAGACATAGGCCTGTTTCACGGGTGGGAAGGCTGAGACCAGAGGGAGAAGCCACTCATCCAATGTCACTTTGTAGGTGGAAGAGTTTGGATTGCAGGTGCTCCCTGACCCCGAAGCTCAAACTCCAACACAAGGACTGGGTAAACTTCATTACTTGGCTCTGGACTACATGCTAGGAGTTACGTGGTTTTGGAAGATAGGATCTTTTTTTAAAAAAAGTTGATTTTAATTTACTGATTATATCTAATTTAGTCTAAAATTAAAATGACTTCTGGTGTGCCCAGGTGGCTCAGTGGGTTAAGTGTCCAAATCTTGATTTCAGCTTAGGTCATGATCTCAGGGGTTGTGGGATTGAGTTCTGCATCAGGTTCCACACTCAGCAGGAGTCAGCTTAAGGATCCTCTCTCCCCCTCTGTCCCTCTCCCTGCATGCTCTCTCTCTCTCTCAAAAATAAATAAATGCATCTTAAAAAAAATAAAAACAAAATGACTCTTGTCCAGAGAGCTAAATGGTGAAAAGGCTCAAGGGCAGGCCAAGACACAAGATGCAACAAGCTTGGGGTTGGCATTTAGTGTGACAAATCTATCATCTGGAAGACAAATCTATAATCTGAAAGACAGTTAATCAGCCAGGAAAGGTGTCAGGGCAATTCTGCTCAAATGCTGGGCTTGACATTAGATGGCATTTCTAGCTGGCCCGCCAATGGTATTAAGACACCGTTAAAAGGCAATGTCAGAATGGAAGAAAGGGTTGGCTTCAGCCATTTGATTTCCATGACAGTGGTTCATTGGTGCAGGCCTAGGAGAAAGACTGAGGACTGGGCGGGGGTGGGGGGTGGAGGGTGGGGGGCGGGGGGGGGTGCTTAGAGCTTCCTCCTCAACAAAGAGCCAGGGAATGAATTTAGTTAGAAGCCAGCAATAGAAGCGTAAGCAGATGTGAGATCACAGAAGCCAAGCAAAGACTATTTCAAGGATGGGGTGGCAAGTTGAGGACTCAGAAATAGCCTCTGTACTGGCAACCGGGTAGCTGTTGGTAGTCTGATGGCAGCAGCTTCAGAGGAGCTGGCATGTGTAGGCAGGTGGATGGTGAGTGCAGGCAGCGAGGCTGTGAATGGGCACAGGGAGGTATGGCGGCGGCAGCTGGAGGGAGGTGGGGGTCCAGAGGACTTCTTTTAAAGATAGGGGGATGTGGCTGAGAAGGAGCAGGTGAAATGGGAGGTGAGGGAGCACTTATGGATCCCAAGAAGGCGGCCCGGCTGGGGACCAGGGCCGGGGCCGCCAGACCAGCTTCTGACAGGACCATCAGGAGGGAGGACAAAATATGCAGGCTTTTGTGCCTCAGTGCCACTGTCTCAAGGGAGCCCTCACCTGGTGATCCGGCCCCTGGAAGGGGAGAAGGCTTCCTACTGGGGTAGTAGGGTGGAGGCGGCCTGAGGAAGGCAAGGACAGTTTGGAAAAGTCACCTTAGAGAACTGAAAGGAGGTGGGCTAGGGGAAAGGATTTCTGGGCAGGGCCTCGGGGGTTGCTTGGGCAGCTGGGCGTAAGAGGCAGCAGAAGCAGCCACAGTTAGCAATGTGTGGGGGACAACTGGAACAGGACACCGGCCAGACAGTGGCTGAATTGACCGCGGGCTCTAAGCTGGACAGGGATCATGGCCGGTTAAGGCACTTGATTGTCTTACAGACCCAAGAACAGCAGAGAAATCACAGCCGGAGAGACAAATTTGCAGGCAGAACAGGGGGCTCGAAATCTAGAATTTCAGAAGAGGTAAGTGCAGAGGTGGGACCAGCATGGAATGGAGAGAAAGGTCTCTGGTTAGGGAGCCGAGGGCAGAAACCTGGCAAACCAGGTGCCACCCTTCAGTGAATGAGGAGCAGGACCAGGGGGGAGCACGGGCGGCCAGGAAGATGAGTGCCGGGGTGCCCAGCCAGGCTGCAGGACCTTCGGGTGGGGCTTGTCACTTAGGATGGGAGACCTGGAATCAACCCTGGAGATGAAGAAACAGATTCCTTTACATGTGTGGTCTCCAGACTTACTGGCCACTTTACTGTAAACTAGTTTTTGGAGACTACCCAACTTGGTGACCAAATGCTCGATACTATCCCCTCTTCTCTATTTCTGTGTCTTTTAATTTTTAAATTTTATTTACTTGTTTTTTAAAGATTTTATTTATTTATTCATGAGGCACACAGAGAGGCAGAGACATAGGCAGAGGGAAAAGCAGGCTCCTTATGGGGAGCCCGATGTGGGACTCGATATCAGGACCCCGGAATCACGGCCTGAGCCAAAGGCAGAGGTTCAACCACTGAGCCACACAGATGCCCCCCTTTTTTCTTTTAATTTTTTTAAAGCTTAGTTTCAATTTTCACTGTAGAGCATACAGAAAATTCCAGGTAGGCAAGCATAATCAGTCTTATTCCTATCACTCAGCAGAAACCAGTATTAACATCTTAACCACTTCCTCCCTAGTATTTTCCTACATGGTTGCGATTATACTACATAAATGATTTTATATTGCCTTATGCAATTCACAGTAGATCATAAGCTGTTAAAAAAAAAAAAGGAGCCATGTTGGCAGTAAGAACAGTGCTTGTTTCTAGAAGAGGCCTCTACTTGGAAGACATTGGAAAGACATTGGAAACTTCTGGGATGCCGTAAATATATTTTATGTCTTTACCTGGATGGTGTTTACACAAGAGTATACATTGGTAGAAACTCAAGATGTACACCTGAAAAAAAACCGACCAAGCAAACAAAAAACAAAACAAAATCAGATCATGTGCATTTGCTCAAGTCATTTTGTCAATGTGGAAAAAGGTGAACAGTCAGTGAATTTAGGACAGTGTATAGGTATCAATAGGTCAGGGAACAGCAGGTGTTGGTGAGAGTCTGGAGAAAGGGGACTGTTGGTGGGAATGCAAACTGTCACAGCCACTCTTGGAGAACAGTGTGGAGGGTTCTCAAGAAGTTAAAAGTAGAGCTACCCTATGACCCAGCAATTGCATTACTGGGTATTTACCCAAAGGATAAAAAAATACAAATTCAAAGGGACACATGTAGCCTGATGCTTATAGCAGCATTATGGGAAATAGCCAAATTATGGAAGCAGAGGGGGTGTCCATCCATTGATGAATAGATAAAGACACGGTGTGCGTGTGTGTGTGTGTACTCGGAATATTACTCAGTCATGACAAAGAATGAAATATTGCCATTGGCAATGACATGGATGGAGCTAGAATGCTAAGTGAAATAAGTCAGCCAGAGACAGACACATACCTCATGATCTCACTTGTAGGTGGAATTAAAGAAACAGAACACAGGAGCATTGGAGAAGGAAGGTCAAAATAAAACAGGACAAAATCAGAGAGGGAGTCAAACTATAAAAGACTCAATCATGGGAAACAAAATGAGAGTCGCTGGAGGGGAGGGGGACCTGGGGATGGAGTCACTGGGTGAGGGGCATGAAGGAGAGCACATGATGTAACGACCACTGGGGGTTCTATGCAACTGATAATCACTGACTTCTACCTCTGGAACCAATGATACACTGTATGTTAAGTAAATTGAATTCAAATTTTAAAAACGGTTAAACAAAGAAACAAATGAGCAAAGGGGAAAAAGAGACAGAGGCGAACCAAGAAACAGACTCTTCACTGCAGAGAACACGCTGACAGTCACCAAAGGGAAGGGATGGGTTATGTATGTGATGGGGAGTAAGGAGCACACTTGTGATGAGCACTGGGTGATGTACGAAGTGTTCAATCACTACATTGTACACTTGAAACATAATATTAGAATGTAAATAACAACTTAAAAAAACGAGTATATAGTGTCTACAGTGCTCTTTCCACTTTTCTGTAGGTTTGCAATTTCTCAAAATTGAGAAGTTACAGGTGGGAAGGGACCTAATCCCAAAGAAAAAGCAAGGAAACAATAACATAAAATTCAGGATACTGGGTGGGTAGAGGTGGGGGGGATGTGGAATGTGGGAAGATAAGACAGGGTCTTACATTTATTAAACCAGGTAATGGATTCGCATGTTCATTGTAATATTCTTTGTGGCTGATATATGTTATGTGGATTCTTTTGAGCCTATGGAATAGTTCTCATTAGTAGGTAAGAATTTTAAATTAAAAAGCTCCATAAATAACATGTTAATGGTTTCTCCTAATCTTTCACTGCTGACTTCTTCACCAAAACTACCTTTAAGGGTGACCAACTGCTGGGGTTGCTGGCTGGCTTGGTCAGTAGAGAATGGGACTCTTGAACTGTGGGTTCAAGCCCCATGCTGCGTGTAGAGATTACTCTAAAAAAAAAAATGAAAATCTAGGGCACCCGGGTGGCTTACTTAGTTGGTCGAGCATCTGACTCTTGGTTTTGGCTCAGGTCATGATCCCAGAGTCGTGGGATCAAGCCTTGCCTCGGGCTGTGTACAGGGGGGAGTCTGCTTGAGATTCTCTTTCTCCCTCTCCCTCTGCCCCTCCCCATTGCTCACACTTGCTAAAAATAAATAAAATATTTTAAAAAAATTAAAGTCTTAGAAAAAAGGTGATAAGCTGCCAAGAACAATACTTTTCACAGTTTGCACTTAAAAAAGAAAGTTGAGATATAATTTATATCCCATAAAATTTATGATTTCAAGGTGTCCAGGTCAGGAGCTTTTAATATAAGGTTTACAAGATTGTACAGTTACCTCCACTATCTAATTCCAGAGCATTTTCATCACTGCAAAAAGCAGTCTACCCATTAGTACTCATTCCCTATGCTCTACTCCCCTCAGACTCTGGGCAACCACTACTCTGATTTCTACCTCTATGAATTGATCCATTCTGGACATATCATACAAGTGGAATCATATGACATGTGGCCTTTTGTGTCTAGTTTTTTGCATTTAGTGTGATGTTACATGCTGCAGTG